CTTCTCTGATAGCAGAGTGGACCGTGGAGCAACCCCATGGTTGTTGTGGTCTGCTTCGGCAGACCTGCCGTCGGGGCGTCGTAGTTGAAAGCGTAAGCGATCCTGCGACGCCCCATTAAGACGGGGGAAGGTTTTGTTGGGTTTTAGTGGGTAGTACTGGCTTCGCCGGTGAGTCCCACACTTCGTGCGTAAATGCATTTCCCAACGTTAAAAAAAAAAAAAGGGTTAGAATGCAATGACATGTCACTTTTAGTCACTAAAGAGTATCATGGACTTAGAAGCTTCTTGACCATTGTCTTTTATATATTTATACAAATACACATAAAGATATTCTCTAAATGCTTTCTTTTCATAGCTTGTTGCCTTTTCGAACTATCGAACTAATTTTTTCTACTGGCATCACAATCGGCCAAACTCTGTTTGAAAATCTTTTTTGGACATAAAATTAATAAAAAAATTACAAGCACTTTTACGCAGTTTTTTTACTAATTCACTTACTTATACTTAATAATAAAGGTTTATTGAAAGATATGTGATATGTGCTTGTACTTGCACGTTGTGGGATTTTTAATACACGGCGTAAGGCACGAGATTCTAATACACTTGGGATGTTGTGCGAAGGCGCGAGGCCCCTAAAAGCGCGAGGCCCCGGGCGATTGCCCTGCTCGCCACCCCCTAAGGCCGCCACTGATTATAGTATCATAAATAGGTAACATTAGTAAAATATATGTATATTTTGTTCCAAGTTACTACGACGAATCCTAAAACGTGCATGGCGACCGTTTTCTGGCGCCACGTGCAATTTTTTCAAGGTTGTAAAGTTGTTTATAAAGTTTTTCAAGTAAAACAATTTGAAAAGACGAAAACAAAAAAAAGGTTTTTATAAGTTCTATGGTAGCCCTAGTCATATACTGTGCTAGTTACTGACAGCGGCTTCGCTGCATATGAATTTCTTATTGATTTTTTTATTGATTTCACTAAAGCTCGTCAATAGTTACTAAACAAATAAAAAATAATAATTTATACATTTAAACACAAAAAAACTGACTGGGTAAAAAAGATAAGAACAAGACGAAGGAACATAGCATTATGCAATCGGACACATATTGTATACACGTAGCAAGACACGCAGCTACTCGTAGTATAAAACATAATATGCCTCCGACTGAATAGTATGTCCTTATTAATAATATGTCCTATCTATACAAGACCTACTTATAATAAAATAGTTACTTAGTGAAATCTGTACATGAAATATTTTTAAAAACAATAACTGTAACGTATTGTGTACTATAGACCCGAAAGCAATAGTTATTAAATTGTCTGTTTGGGTAAAAAGTATTGAACCGATTTTGTCTAAATTTTGTGTAGTGATAACTAATAACTTAGGTATTACTCGGTTAAATATTTAGGATACCTTTTACTACAGGATTTTTTTAAATTTCCATATGAAAATAAAATAATTGGTTCCATAGCATCGTTCTTAGAAAGTATGGCTACCCCTGGCTAAACCTTAAGAGATTCTTCTACTCAAAACAATATATTATGCATTTAGGTACTTGAAATTAATAAGGCTTACAGAAAAGTCCGCAATATCATGTCTATCTCCTAAGGTACAATCGTAATACCTACCTATTTTTATTATACACTAGCATTGCCCGCGGCTCTGCTCGCGTTCAGATGACCAAAAACCAAATTCTTAGGTTTTACATTTTAGTATAAGTACTCTTACATTGCAGTTTTTGTATCTTTTCTCAGAAATGAGATATTTCTCGCGGTAAAAAGTATCCTATATGTTGACCCGGATAACCAGCTATCACTATACCAACTTTCACCAAAATCCCTCCAGTGGTTTTTCCGTGATGCGGTAACAGACAGACAGACAAAAATTCTGAAAACTATAGATTCGGCCTCTGTATCAATAATAATGTCTATTTCAATAAGATTTTCCAAAAAATATTTAATGTACAGATTCGACTTAGAATTTTATTATATGTATAGATAGATAAGTCAGATTCGGAAGGTGAATTATTAGTGGATGTAGTACCTACGTGGTATGAAAACTTTGAGAACTGCAAGTATCGAACGAAATTACGGCCTTATTGATAATTTAAAAATTAGTAGTATTATATTAGAACTCTAATTATAGTTAAAATATTATACATCAATTTGTGATGTATTTTACGTATCGAAATATATTAGATTTGCTTTGCATCGGCTATTTTAGTTTTTTTTATGGATAGAAGTCTTAAATTACCCTTTAAAATGTCCATATAAATTATAGACTTAATATAAGCATAAATAATCTATGATAAAGTTACTTTTTAATTAAAACTATATACATCATTTTAATTTAACAGAATGTTATACTGAGACAGGTAGTTGATCAATAAATAATTTAAAACTATGTTTCAGTTCCATCAATTGATTTGATGAAGCCGGAGAGCTATTTTTTTATATTGGAATAGACACAAATAATTTTGAGATGTGGATAAGTACTGTTTTACCAAAACTACTGAGATTTTTGGTGTACAATACGCACAATTTTTTTCTTATCCTAAACTACTTTTGAACATATAAGTTATATATAATATATAATTATTAATTGAACATATGAATGGTTCGTGTAAAATTTACACACGATGCTGCGTCGCCAGTTCCTTTGGCTTGAACTTGGCTGGACACGCTACCGCGTGTTTTGATAACTTTTACTATGTAGAGAAAGGCTATTTGTTGTAAATTGTTGAAATTGAATGGGTTATGTGACACATGCGTAGTCTATTAAATTTTATATTTACATGCGTAGTTTATGAAATATGGTAAGAAGATAATTTAAGTCACTGGGAAAGACATAGGATAGTTTTTATCCCGGAAATAATCCCTTAAGGGGGTGAAAATGGGGATGAAAGTTTGTATTAGGAAGCAAGCTAGGGACGAACCCGAGAGAAGCGAGGGTGAGTCGCTAGTTTATAATATAATTTAAATTATCGACGATACGTATTATTATATACATATTAGTTAGTTATATTTTTTTCTTTCAACACTGAACCTAGTGTCCTCTGCTGGTGCACTTGAAAACTAATTCACGTTCCATTTAGGCATTAGTACACTTCGGCGTTGTGCGCCAAAATAGAGTATTATACCTACTCTGTAATTGGAATACAGGGACAGATGACACGTTATCATCAATTGATGACATAGTAAAAAAAAATCATAAAAAACTAACTTGCGTAGTGTATCTATAATTTATATAAATATGTAAGTTTTATGATTAAAAAAAATTACCTACCCAAATTGGTCCAGCCGTTTTCGAGTTTTGTGCTTAGCAACAGCTTGAGCCATTCATTTTTATTTATAAGGCTTAAATAATCCACCCTTCAAATTATAATAAGAAATAATTAAACTTATTTATTAAATACTTTACATTATTTATCTATCTATAAAACATCTATAGGTTGAATGTTATTGTGTGTACCAACTTTTTCTTCAAATACCAGCTTTTAGCGACATCTGTACCAGGTTTACTGGGCAGTGGGCCAGTTTGACCAACTCTACCAACTTTTCGGTAAATCTATCAACAGTTTTAGTATCTTACACCTATCTACCACCTTGCAAAAAAATCTACTAACTTTTCACAATTTTGATAAATTTTAGTTCTACGAGTATGTCCGCAAAAACGATATTAATGAGTTTCAAAGAGTAAAATAGTAAAAAAGTCATTATTTTTATATTGTTATATTTTAACTCTAAAAACATTCAAACCTTGAAGTCGAAATACTTCGCAACTCAAACTACTTTTATTGTAGAAAAATAAAAATTAAAAAAAAGTCGCTCTTAAAGTTATTGTATTGAAGATTTTACATTAATTGATTCTGATAATAAATATACCATAGAATCTCAAGTGAATTCTCAAATATCACTGCTACAAATTATCGTCAGGTTCAAGTAAGTATATTTATATGAATAAAGAAATTACATATTATTTATAAGTAAAAACTATTAAAACAGGATATACTAAACTCATGAACGAATTATAGTCCAGTCAAAATAGACTAAATTATGATCCAAGTTTGCATTAATTCCCAACAAGCTGGATTTTTGTGTGGGCCTTGAATACGTCATTACAAATGATATGTCAAAAGTCCCCATCGATCCCGCTTGTGCGTTGTTTTTTATTCGAGGTCAAAGGTCACAAATTTGCGTTCTTTGCGTATATCTCTGAAACAACGAGAGTTATCGAAAAATGGTTCGAACAAAGTTTGTAGATCGTAAAATTGTCTACAAAAAATATCTTCTATATTATATTATACTATATTATATCTCAAATAAATCGATCTTTTAAGGCGATGTCGTGACTGTATTAATGCCGGTGGCAAACAATTTGAACATTTACTGTAATGTTAATAATGCAATAAATTAATAAAATAAATGTAAAATTGTTTGTACCTATTGTTTGGATTCATTCAATATTTTTCAACAACAAAAAACCTTTTTGGAACATAGTAAAATGTTCCAAAAATAGGTGTTTGGAACATTTTGGATTATTATGTAAAAAAAATCAGAAATATTTGAAAAATTGTAGTCATAGTTAAAAATATCCTAAGAGATGTCAATTTTCGAAGGGTTTCAAAATATGTTTGTAATTTCAAAAAAAAAATGTTTTCGTTTTGTTTCTCGAGTAGTCATGAGCAGGTCCTTCCTCTGCTGCCCGCTATCGTAGAATTTTGGGACACTATGTATATTTATATACATTATAATTAAAAATTAAGTTCTATCAAAATCTTTTTAATAAAAAGACGATCCTAAACGATGGAAGTAAAAGAGGCTCGATTATCAAATTTAAGATATTTGTTTTATTTCCATTCTCATAATATAATAATACATAACTTCATAAACATCTTGTTAATATTTAAATATATTACTAAATAAACAATAATATTTTAAGTTTAAGTTAAATTATGAAATATACTTTAAAAAATGTGATATGAAATAGAAAATTAACCAACAGCAGCCAATAATAACGTGGCAATGTCTTCTCTTGGAGAGCGTACCGCTAATTGCATAGTAACAGAGCCTTGGGCTGCCACAAGGCGAGCTCGCACCAGCATTGGGGTTCCTTCACGCCAAAGCCCACCGCCCCGAATTTCTTTCACTGCTTCTCCTCCAATAGCTGACTTCGGTAATCCTAGGTGGGTACAAACTGCCGTCGCGGCTTCATTTACATCAGATTGAGACAATCCGAACGTGTCACATACTTCTGCAGCTGTGGAAGCTCTTTCCCAAGAAGCTTCCCAATCGTCGGAAGCTGCTCGAGTTCTAAATTGCTCAGCGCAACCTATCTCTACCTCCTCTAATAGATATGTATCCGCGTAGCCTTCTCCAGAGTCCGGCAATCCTGTAGTTGGATCGCAATCTCGTACAACAAACTCTAACGTCGCGGCAAAAGTGCCTAAAGTTTCAATTGGGTTTACTGGAAACTCTAAAACACAAAAAACACTTCCCTGTTTGTCATATGGCAGTTGCTCACACGGAACTTCTCCAAGGATTTTGTAACCAGGAGCAACATCGAGGCGGATGTGTACTTTCTCCAGAAGTTGATCACTTAGTGTGTTTAAACATTCAAACTGTAAAACTAAATATTTTGAGAATATATGTTTTACGCAACGGACGCGATACTCTGTCTCTGGCTCTGTTAAGTCTATACTTTCACATGTCTTGAATATAGGACCTAGTTTTTCTATTCCAGGAATGACGTTTAGCTGGTCTGAGTACATTTCTTCGCGAGACACAACAGGTTGCTTACGTACTTCAACTTGGGCTGGTGCTTCTTCAGGCTCTTGTTGTTCTTCTGCTGTTGGTACACTTGCAATGTTAAAAAGCTCATCGGGTTGTAAATTAATATGATCGTGTAGAGCTTTTTCTAAAAGGACCGGGTTTGGTACCGGTACATTTATTATATATTCATCGATTAACTGTCGGTCATTAGTATCCAAAATGGCACTGTAAAATATTGCCCGATCACGAACTTCATCGTCATCATCTAATTGACATCGAGCCAAAAGTACTCTTATATTAGGCAGGAGTTCTTCTCGGGCAGCTCCGAACCGTGCAACTGCAGACACCGCAGCAGCGCGAACAGGTCCTGACTCTAAGATGACACGGTTATAAATATACCGAATGTATCTTGATGGCTGCCGAGCTTTTGGACCTTCGCGTCCCAAAATATATAAAATTCTAACGGCCAAAGATGTATGTTCACAATCTTCAATAAATTCGCAGAGATGTGCCAGGCCTGTTTCTTTAGCATCAGGATTTTCTTCCACTAAAGCAATAATGGTGTCTGCAATAGCTGTTTTATATAGCACTCCACCTTCATCCCGTAGCATTCCAGCTAAAAATGCTGCTAAGGACTGATGTTTTCGTGGGTACTTCGAACAAAGTCTCCTAATAGCTCGAACAACTACAATTTTGAATTCATCTGAAATTTCTGACATAAAACCCGATATTTGTTTCATTAGTCGATCAATTGAGCTCTCAGCTCCCGTGGCAAGAAGTGTAGTAACTGCCAAGGTAGCAACTGAACGATTTGGATCCGCTATCAAGTTTTCTAAGTCCACTGCACAGGCAGCAACAGCATTGGGATGTTTCGCTGTAAGCTTTGCCAACGTTCGCGCGCCAGCTAATCTCAAAGTAGCTTTAGATGAACCGCAGAAAATTTGTAACACACTCACAGCTTGCGCTAAATCTCGAGCAGATTTCCTCAAGTTAACAATAGCATATGCGGCTTCATATACAACTATTTCGGATTTGTGCCGAAGACAAGACTCAATGAATTCCAAATATGGTTCTGATGCATCACTTTGATCTTCTTCAGCTAGCTTTGCAGCATGTCGCACAAGCAGACATAGGGCGTATGGGGATCGCATTGGAGAACGTGCTAGTTTTGTAACAAGTTTCACAGTTGACAGACGATCATTTTTTCTGGCTCCAGCAACAACAGCCAAGGCATGATAGGATACCATCACATTATCCGACATAATAGCTTCCTGAAAATTAGAAGAATATAATTTTAATATTAGTATTGTATTGGTCATAATACTATATATAATACTTTATGAAAAAAAAAATGGAAATGCAAATTAATAATCTGTACTAATATTATAAATGTGAAAGTGTGTTGTTTGTTTGTCCTTCTTTCACGTTGAAAAGGAATGAAGGATGGCGTGATCTTTTGTTTGCAGATAGTTGGAAGCCTGGAGAGTTACTTAAGCTACTTTTTACTACTGGAGATTACCTAATTCCCTTGGGAAAACACATTATAAATTATAATACAATCCAAAAAAATATTTATGATCAGAATTACTTGAAACTTGGTATTATTGTTATATCTTCAATAAAATTAAATAAATATGTGTTTTAGCATTTTTCGAAATTTTGTAGTTAAAATAGGGGATGAAAATTTGTATGAAACTACCTTTTAAGAGATTTTTTTTAGAATATTACTACTATTACAAAAAAAGAAGTCATAAAAAATTTAAGTTTATAATAATGGTCATCATAAGATTATACCACAAAATGGAAATACTGTCTGTAAAGTGTCAAAAATATTAGTTAATTTTCATATAGAATTCTGAATTTATTTAAGTTATGTATGAAGTGATTCCAAGTTATATTTATTTAATAAGTTTATAATACACTAGCAATTCTCCCTCTCTCCGTTCAGGATGGTCCCTAGGTGTTTCAATTTTTTTGAGCAGAACCCTAATTCTTTTTCAAAAATAAAAGTAGCCTATGTTACTCAAAACAGTCCAACCGTTTCAGAAATAAATAATAAAGACAGACAAAAGATAAAAAAAAATAAAGACAGACAAAAATTTAAAAAACTGAGTTTTTCTTATAAGTACAGTATATAATTTCAATAATAAATTTCATATGCATTTATTAAAATGCTGTTGTTTTGACATTTCAAACACACACTTTAATTTTATTTATCTGTATAAATAAATGTATAGATATGGTCTATCCATTTCATACTAACCATTGAAACATACCTAGGGACTATTAGCATTTTTTTAACAAATGTTGTTAAAAAGTGCCAATGTAAGCTAATGCCAAGATGTGATTGCATCATAAATCATAATGAATAAAACAAATTATAGTTTCCAATTACAATTTCATAAATGTAGATAAAAATGCTGACAAAGATGAACAAAAATGCCATCTGTTGTTGCTGACAAACTAACTATAGAACTACTCTTTAAAGATAAACATCAGCTGTTTACTTTATATTTAACAACATATGTTTTTGAATTAGGTTAGGTTCCCACAGGACTATGAAATCGAAAATAACTATGCATTTGTACATTTTAATTTCAATGCCTGATATACTCAGCCCAGTAGTAACATGAATGCTTAGAAAACCAAGTCATGTAAGTTTAAGCCTCTGGTCTAACTCATAAAATATTTTTATGTGTGAATCATTTTAAACATAATTACCACTCACACTACAGTGAATTAAAATAACATGAGGAAACCTGCATGTCGGGAGAACCTGACTAATTCATAGAAGAGATATGTGAAGATATGTTACCATTTTGAGAAGCATGGTCTCTCGCATTGAAGGGAATGGGAAGTAAAAAAGGGTTGAATTATAAACATATCTTATTCACAGGATGACTACTATTTCTGTATTGCAGCCATTTCATGATGATTGATTTTTAAGATAATATTAATATCGATCAATCAATGATTTTAATTGCCTCACCTTTTGATCAAATTCAGAAATCTAACATAGTTTTAAAAAACAGGTAGCACCTGTTTGAGCTGGATCACTCACTTGCCAGTAGTAAGTTCATTTTAATATGCAATTAAGTGTAAAATAAACTACAAATGATAGTACAAAAACTATTATTTTTATCAAAATATATGTTTAATGGCTGTCTTTTAAATAAAAATGTCACTCCTAGAAACCTTTAATTGAGTTTGAGCCATAGCTGAGTTGCTTATGGGCCCAGTTATATGATATGGGTTGTTACGTATAAAAAAAACCGTTCTTGATTTTTATCTTTTTTAAGTCAAGTTTGTAAATATACATTGTTAAATGGTAGAACAATGAAAGCACTATAGTACTATAGTAAGTTGTGCATTATACTACCTCTGGAATAAGATAATAACTTCAATAAGTCACCCACAGTGACAAAAATTTATTTTGGTGCATTTGATTTGCTTTATTTAAAATGATTTCTCTTGCAAATGTCATCCATGTACAATGTTAAATGATTTATTGATTGGCATCCAGGGTTAGAACCTCTATAATTGTAATATAATTACCTGAGCATCATTAACCCATCTTCGGACCAAGTCCGGAACAGAAGCTGATAAGTGAAGAGCAGAAACAAGCGCTGCTGAGCTGACGGCAGGATTTTTATCCACAATAGCTTGTTTCATATAGCGCTCAATTGCTTGTAACATGGTACTGTCAGTTATACTACACAGTGCCCGAATTGCTGCAGCTCGATATAAATCTTCTTTCCCCGTCATATCTTTGGTAAGTGACGATGTGACGATAATTACATCCTGTGCCATAGAGCTTAACTCCTTAATACATAAATAAACCAACCGACGCAATACGACATCCTTAGATTGAAATAATTTCGTTGTTGCGAAGAACATATCAGTAGCTTCCTGAGTTGTTAGTTTTTCTCCTTGGTTAAGTAAATATAAAATTTTAGTCAATATGTGGATGCATTTTCTTGGATTTACCGGAGTAGAGTTAAAATAACGAGCTTCTTGTAGCAAAGTGGTTTTATTGAGATTTTGAAAAATATTTGCACCTCCATCTTCCTCTTCTTTTTTATCTCGGCGAAAGGAGCTCATTGCGTTGTTTTTCTTATTGAAAATTTACAATTTTCACAAAGATCAATACCTCTACGTGTCATCAATTTTGACGTATGAACCGCAGATTAAGTATTAGTTACTACGCAAGTATGATCCACACCACAGACCACAGTAGAATTATGATATGAAGAACAATGAACACAGACTAAAACCAGATATTACTTACACCCTGTTTTCCAATAAGAGCACTGAGGCGAATTATGCGGCATAATGCTAACTTCGAATGTTTCAACTACAGCAATGCTCCGCTCAATCGAGCATTTTGAAAAGTAGTAAGTACTGCTTTGGAGTTAGGCGTGATGCGCGCAAGGATAAGGTGTTTTTTCTTCGAGGTGACATTGATCACAATTTTATTTACATTATCGTTAGTAATATTTGTTAATATTTTATTTATATATGTAATTACATATTAATTAGTTATATATTATAAATATATTATATATATATATATATACATATTAGTTGCATTTTTTCTTTCAACACTGAACCTAATGTCCTCTGCTGGTGCACTTAAAAACTAATTCACGTTCCATTTAATTATTAGCATTTAGCACACTTCGGCATTGTGCGCCAAAGTACGGCATTATGCTCTGTGATTGGAAAACAGGGACACTTTTACTTCTTGATTTTTTATCATTTGCAATACTCAATTGAGAGATTTTATAATATTATTCTTGGGTAACTTCGATCAGTTTCTTCGCAATATAAAATATTTATATTGATATAGATGGCATTATTTTTAAATGATGGTTGAAAGTAGTTCAGAGCACACTAAGCACAAAATATTTCGCAGAACATTTTTCAACTGACTTCTTCAAACCTCTTCACCTTTATTTAAATCACACGTGTATTCCCTATAGTACCTACCACTATCAAATTCTTGTGGAAAGAATAGTTGGAAAAATAAAATCAAGCCTCGACAAAATTAAGGTAGAGCACGAAGTTTTAGCTTGTTAATAATAATTCAAGAATCCATTGGATATTATAGACTGATACGTTGTCATTAATAGGATAATTAACTCCATTTTTTCTTTTATAATCATTCAGTCTTTCATGTATGATATCTACCTACCTTCTAAATTGTGCAAATTTAAAATTTGCAAATTAGCTCATAAGATCCTGCATTAAATTGGTTGTGGCCTGTGACACATAAACCGCCATGGCCCTGACAAAAATATAAATTACATTTTTGTTTTTAGACCACGGAACGTTTATTATTAATGTATGTACGGAAACCTACAAACTAATTATAACATACAATAAAATAAGGTCCGTTCGCCTAAAAAGTAATTTTAGTAGCGTAAAAATATAGTCAAGTTAAAGTCAGTAGCATATATGAATAATAATAAAATGGTCAGTTGTATGTTTGACCCACTTTTGAAATAAAAACTTAACTGATACACGAGACCAGGAAGCCCGAAAATTATGTTTTGTACTAGCGGCTCACTCTTGCTTCGCTCTGGTTCGTTCCTAGAAAAATAAAAACAATGCTATCCCACGGGAATCGTACTTTTATCCGGGATAAAGAGTAGTCTATGTATTTTTCTGATGTATATGCTATATTATTGTAAACTTTCATTAAAATCCATTCAGTAGTTTTTGCGTGAAAGAGTAACAAACAATATGTAAAATATATACTGTAACGTAATTGGATATAGTGTATATACAATCAAATATTTATCATTTAATCATCATATTTATTACACATACATTTCATCTTATATTAAATACAAGCGACTCTCCCTCGCTTCGCTCGGTTTCATCCCTAGGGTGATTCCCCATACAAAATTTCATCCCAATTTTCACCTCCTTAAAGGATTATTTTCGGGATAAAAACTATCCAATGTCCTTCCCAGGGTCTTAAACTATCTTCTTACCAAATTTCATCTGAATCGGTCCAGTAGTTTCGGAGCCTGTTCAGTACAAATGAACAAACAAAAAATCAAATCATTTCCTCTTTATAATATTAGTATAGATAGATATATACCATTTGGGGTATCTAATAAAAAAAATATAAACCACTTTCAATGAATTGTATGTTATCTTTATTATTTAACCAATCTACAAATACGTTTGTACGGATAATTTAAACATCTGTGGCATCTTTGGCCCTAACACACACAATATATTCGAATTAATACATTTGACTTCGTTTCTGAAAGTGATGCGCCTATCAACAAACGCTATAAAACTGCGAATATAGAAACACGTAATTTATCGTTATTTCTTCATACGGAGTTGTAAAGCAACAATTCTAAGCTCGTCATCAATTATTATCGTAAATCTAATTACTTGTATTGCAAAAAATATTAGATACTATAACTTACAATAACATTTTTCTTAAGCTACTTGTATTTTGATTCAGTTGTTTATTTTTCATGCACGTCATAACAAGGGAAACAGATGTATCCAAGTGATCGACATATTTTTGGATTTCACAAGATACGGTTACACTACCTAAGTAGGTAAAAATATAATATATTCACAAACTCATGTGCGGCGCATCACTAGAATCCGCAGTCTCAATTAGCCCGAGAACAGGCGACAAATTTTGGGAATGTACTTTTGGCAAGTTGAAATCGTGAAAAAATATTATAATTTCGTCAATTGGCGAGTCCAGTCCCGCGAGTCTGGGATAGCGTTTGCGGTTATTTCGTTACTGCGCAGTATATAACATTTGCAAAAAATAACAAAAAAATATTATTATTATTATTGGCAACTAGATTTTTTTTATTCTTTTAATTTAGTTTTTATACATTAAAAAAAACACGCGGTTTCTCGATAAGCAATCACAGCGCGAGGACCTTGGGCCCCCATCAGCTGCCTGCATACCTCGACAAGCTATCTTTCTCGCACCTATGGCTACGCTTAAGACTTTTTTGTCGTACTCATTTGTAAACTTTATTTACATGTGGGAATTGTTTAAAACCGGTAAATTTGTCTGGTGATTTGCAGGTATTATTGAAATCTATACATATAATAAAATTGTAACTAAGCCGAATCTGTACATTAAATATTTTTTGGAAAATCTTATTGAAATAGACATTATTATCGATACAGAGGCCGAAGCTATGGTTTTTAGAATTTTTGTCTGTCTGTCTGTCTATTACCGCATCACAGAAAAACCATTGAAGGGATTTTGATGAAATTTGGTATGGTGATAGCTGGTTATCCGGGTCAACATATAGGATACTTTTTACCGCGGGAAAACATCTATTTTTTTAGAAAAAATACAAAAACTGCAATGTAAGAGTATACTAATATGTATCACCTAAGAATTTGGTTTTTGATCATCTGAACGCGGGCGGAGCCGCGGGCAATGCTAGTTACTCAATAAATACGTGATTAACATTTCAAGATTGCCAAAAGTATATTTTTGGGAATTTTAATAAAATATTTTTGGAAAGGTCTGGTAATACTTTATAACCGACAAAAACGACTGGAGTTCTGTTTTTTGAATTATATAAAAACTAAATTAAAACACTATCCCAGACTCGCGGGACTGGACTCACCAATTGACGAAATTATATTTTTTCACAATTTCAACTTGCCAAAAAGACCTTCCCAAAATTCGTCGCCAGCTCTCGGAATAAATAATATTGTCAATGCGGTAATTTTTTTCTACACAATTTAATCATATCATTCGTTTAATGATACCTATAACACGTTAAAGAAATAATGATAAAGTAATTCGTTTAAGGTTAAATTTTCAAATAAATAATATTAGTATGTAAGAGTTTATAATTCTATCTACCGTAGTTGATATTTTAATTGTTTTAAATAAAAATCATACTGTAAGTACAGGTGAATTTTTCAAGTGCGCGTAGCACAATTTTGAAATTATGGGGTAAAAATGCTAAATGAGATACATATCCGATTTTGATACAAATTATGATATAAATTAGTGATAGCTGAAAATCTACCTGAAAGAAGCTAAAGATATACACATAAATTATTATATGTAGGTATATAAAAGACTACTTTTAATTCCACTTTATTTGTATTTTGAAATTTGGGCATGTTTACATGAATGGTACATATTTGAATTGTTTATGTGCACAGTGCTCAATTTTCTAACAACCTAATCATATAATGTTTTGTTAGATTTATGCAAAGTACCTAGGCTACCGAGCTTCGCTCGGAGTTTTTGCCTGTAGTACAATTTTCTTTTTTTAAAAAAGCTAAAAACTTGAATAAATATAAAAATAACAAATGTAAAAACTTTGAATCCGACCGAGATTAGAAGCTGTGATTGTCGATCTTGCGCCTTGGCCACTTGGCCACGATGTTTATGCCAGATGGTGCGAAATAACCGACCATATTTTGTGTCGAAAAGTGCGAAAGAAAACCGCATGAAAACTCGAGAACAGGCGTTTTCTCAAATATAAGACTAATCTAGATCGATTTATCACCCCTGAAACCCCCTGTATACAGATTATATATGCATAATACTATATTCCTTCGTCAACTTGTTTTCATCTTTTTAGTTAGCTTTAATGCAGGGGTTTTTTTATTTTTAAAATATATTTTTTATTTACAACTTTTTAGTTTTTGCCAATGTTTTGCAAAATATATTCAACTTATATGTTTAAAAGTAATAATAAAAGTAATAGATAAAAAAATATTAAATATAACTTCAAATGTCTACATTTCTCTTTATGTCTTTTAAACATTTATGTTGAATATATTTTGTGATCGCCTTTATTTTGATACTCCACTAGATTTGTTTAATTTTTATTTAATATTTAAGTATTTTTGTTGGTAACCGGAAGTTCAGAACAAATAAGCAATCAACATTTAACGACACAACTAAAACCAATACACCTCCCCCAAGCCGGCTGGTCCCCGTGGGGGATTTCGACCAATCCCTTCCAGCACAATTGACAAGAAAAAACAATACTAGTATCAAAACGAAACCAAAAAGTAAACTGTATATAGCCACCTTAAACTGCTTAACCTTGCGTACTGAAGAGAGACTAACTGAATTAGAACTAGCACTCTCAAATATAAAATGGGATGTTTTAGGACTAAGTGAAGTTAGAAGATTAGGAGAAAGTATTGAGGACCGCAAGGAGTACATTTTATACTATAAAGGCGAAACAAAAGGGAACTATGGAGTGGGCTTCATGATTAAAAAACATTTAGAAAGAAACATAGAAGAATTCAAGGGAATTTCAGACAGAATAGCGGTACTTAATCTGAATCTGCCGTCGTACAAAAACAAATGGTCAATTATCCAAATTTACGCCCCCACAGAACAGTACGAGGAATCTGCCAAAGACCTCTTTTATGAACAACTAACATCAGTTCTACAGCAATCGCACAAGAACCTTATGCTGATAGGAGATTTTAATGGCAGAATTGGTTCCCAACAAACTGGAGAAGAAAATGCAATTGGAAAATTTGGTTTTGGAAGAAGAAGCAACAATGGCAAAAGAATGATCAATATGGCCTTAGAAAACAATATTGCATTTATGAATAGCTTTTTCAATAAAAATACAAAGAAAAAATGGACATGGCTATCACCAGATGGGTCATATAGAAATGAAATAGACTATATAGCAACGAACAATAGAAAAGCTTTTTATGATGTAAGTGTCATTAAACAATTGAATTTTAACACTAACCATAGAATGGTTAGAGCAACAATAATTGGTTCAGAGCCGAAAAAAGCCAGAAATAAATTTAATACAATAAAGAATCTCAGTAGACACCTGAATGAAACAAAAAATGAAATAGACGAAAACTACGAAAAAGGAATAAACGAAATATATGGACCACTATACACTCAATTGGCGAAACCTAAGACAAGTAACACGGAAAATGAAACCAAAACCCTCATAGAAGAAAGAAGACAGCTTTTAAATAATAAAAAAGATAAAAACAATTTAAGGGCTATTACAGAAGTAAGTAAAAAAATAAGTAAAAGCATTAATAAGGACAGAGCAAAAAGAAGATTGGACGTACTCAACACTCACATAAAAAAGACAGGAGGAGTTAAAAAAGCTTTAAAAGAACTGGTTGAGTCAAAACAATGGATAACAAACATCAAGAATAAAGCAGGAAAACAAGAGACTATGAGAAGAACTATGATACAGATTGCAACCGACTTTTACAGGACACTTTACGCAGCAGAACCCAATGCTCAGAATCCAACTACAATTCTAGAAGACGACGAAATTGACGATATCCCAGTTTTTATGCAATCAGAAATAAAAAAAGCTGTAGACAGTCTAAAGAGCGATAAGTCACCTGGGCGAGATCAAATAACAAACGAGATGATAAAAACTTCAATCAATACACCTGAAAACCTAAGAAAACTCACAGAAATATATAATACTATCTTAAGAACGGAATCTATACCATCTCAGTGGAAAAAGAGCACAATTATACTTCTACATAAGAAAGGGGATCGAGACAACATCGAAAATTATAGACCAATTAGTTTGTTATCAAATATATACAAAGTTTTCTCTAAATTGATTTTAAATAGACTAACAAGGATAATGGACGAACAACAACCAATCGAACAAGCTGGCTTCAGAGCGGGATTCTCGACCATCGATCATATACATGTATTAAAACAGTTAATGGAAAAATCCCAAGAATATAATAAAGCACTGTATATTGCACTGGTGGATTACAGTAAGGCATTCGATTCCATTAAGCATGAGTCGCTCTGGAAGGCTTTAACCCAACAAGGAATTCCCAAGAAATACATACGCATAATCAAAAACATATACATGAACAGCACGGCACAAATAAAACTAGAAACAACCGGCGAAGAGTTTCCTATAGCAAAAGGAGTAAGACAAGGAGACCCCTTGTCCCCAAAACTTTTCTCTGCCATCCTAGAAAGTATATTTAGGAACATAGAGTGGAAAAATGTTGGTATAAATATTAACGGGGTACATCTCAACCATTTAAGGTTCGCAGATGATCTAGTCTTAATCACTGACAGCGCTAGTACATTGCAACTTATGTTGCAACAGTTAGCAGAAGCAAGTAGAACAGTAGGGCTTACCATGAATAAATCTAAGACAAAAGTAATGACAAACAGAGAAGAAATAGCCATAACAGTAGATGACGAAAGCATTGAATACGTAAAAAACTACACATACCTGGGACAGTTAATATCATTCAGAGACCAAACGGACTTGGAAATCGAAAGAAGAGTAGCTTGTGCATGGAAAAGATATTGGTCACTCAAGGAGATACTTAAAAGCAAATATTTTTCAATGGCAGCTAAGAGAAAAGTGCTCAACTCTTGTGTCTTACCTTGCCTGACGTACGGAAGCCAAACGTGGGCACTAAATCAAAAACATCTTTTAAAACTGAGATCATGCCAACGGGGAATGGAGAGAAGCATGATAGGTGTCACTAAAAATGATCGGTTAAGAGCTGATGAAATACGTTCAAGAACCAAAATAGAAGATATAATAAAGAAAGTAAGACAGTTGAAGTGGAGATGGACAGGGCACATGATGAGAGATAGCAAGATAAAATGGACAAAAATTATAACAGAGTGGCAACCACGCGATGGAAAAAGGAAAAGAGGAAGACAGGCAAAGAGATGGATGGATGACTTAAGAAAAATTGGAGGCGAAACATGGCCTAGAAAAGCAAGAGACAGAAATGAGTGGAAGCAGCTGGAAGAGGCCTATGTGTCACAGGACACGCTGATAACTAAACCGGAAAACCAAACGTGTTAGATTTAAGTTAGTTTTTTTACATTTATATTATTAGATTATATTTGTGTTTAGTTCTTCAGCAATAAAGGCTTAATAATAATAATATCTAGCCTATAACACTCGCGTTATTAAGACGAATCTAACGACGTATGGATCATCAAAATCGGCCTACACGTTTGGTCTCTATAGCGCCACATAGGAACGAACCACAGAAATCTTAATAATAAGCTATTATTAAGATTTCTGTGGAACGAACATACATACATATCTATCACACATAACAAAATCTTCCAGCAAATACTTTATAATTTTGAGTAATATTTCATATAAGTACGTAAGGTTACGCCCGCTTGAAAAACTCACTTGTATACATGTTACATAATTATATAATATGTTTGGTAAGTATATAAATTATCTATTTTAATAAAGATCCGTCTTTGGTCAAATTACAAATTGTTGCCCACCGCTTGACACAAAGAGTAAGTTAAGTATTTCTATTGAAAAATCTAAGCTTGCCTTAGAAGACTTACACAATATTACCTACTACAGTTATATCAGATGATATCATGTAAAAATTACAATGTAAATACTATTTTACAAGAACTACTTGCAACAGTAACTAGTCTTAAAAGAAACTTTTACAATTAATATAACAAGTAAATTCAATCGGTTTTAACATTGAATCAGATATTTAAAATTTTATATTTATTCGAAATCTAAACGTGTCATATGAAACTTAACGATAAATGAATGCTAGAAATTAAGTATACCGTCATCGACTATTAGGCGCCTGCCCACTGTTCCTTCAAATTCCACATAATAACAAGTTAAAGAAAATAACGAATTATGTTATAGAATTTATATAATATACTATAGTAACATGCCTAGCTTTTTAGATACTGTTTTTCTAATACTGAAAGTGTAAATACCAGTTACACTGAAATGTAAGTAACAGTAGGTACATTACTTAACATCAAGATTACTTTTAAATTCTGCTAATAGCTTTGGAACTAATTATAAGTATTAAAAGAAACAGGCTAAACTTTTTGAAAGTTACCATTTTAATGGATAATTCCCATTTACTAATAACTCGTAGCCACAGTAACGTTAAACATCACTTGACCGTCCATCTACAAAGCCACCAAGTTTATGTAAAATGGTTTACATTTAGGTATATACTTACAGAAATTTTGCATGTCACAATCAACTGTGATTCGAATTATACATTTTATGGAGATTTAAATCTGTATCTACGTGTCTTTATAATATAATGGTCACTCGAGTCACAACATTTTTTTTATTTCTTAACATTTACACTTTTTTCTAATTTATTTCATCTTAAACTATTCTTTTTCCATCATTTTTAAAGTTATGTTACGAGCTTAAGTTATATGTAGAAAAAGAATGTGACTCAAATCACAATTCTTAACTTGTACGTCGTAGAAGTATGAAAATACATGTGAAGGCTAAATTATGGATGAGAAATAGGTACTCTTTTTAAGAATATAATTCTAATTCTAACATTGCCTCTAACATGATAACATGAAATTATTTGACTAGTTTTGCAAAACAATGGTTATTATTTATAGGTATAATCATAAAATAACGGTAGGTATAATGTACAAAACTGCCAAGCAGCGAAACAATATCACATAGCAGAACATAATCGACCATATCACCGAATTTGTCCGTAGACATTGTTACGTTATTACTTATAATTAACATCGACAAACATGACACCTTAAAATCGATTTATAAATTACGCATCAAGTTATTCTAAGATCGATTTCGATTCGTAATAATAAAAAAACATATTTTTACAAAATAGGTACTATAGCGAATACTATTATTTACATGAAGCATTAAATAACCATGATCTATGCTTTTTTTAAATTTAGGTACCGTTTGTATTTTTGCCATATCATGCTGATGAAAATATTATAAATATATATTTTTTTACATTTTCTAATATTAGGGAAAAGTAGGTACCTACAAGGAAACGGGTCTTTCCACATCACTTTTTAAAATATAAATTATTTCTTCTATCTATTCTATTCTCTAGTATGAAATAGATTTTATGGAATAAAATAATGTTAAGATATCTAGTGCTTCTAGCAAATAGGTCTTTAAAATTAAGTATATTCCCATAATATTAATTACAACTTGTAAAGGTTTGCTCGTCGTAAAATAAAATTACAAATGTAAATAAATGCTTTTAAAGCCTTATAAAACAAAATAACGTAACATGTAATCATGTTTAAAACTTAAAGCGATGTCAATATAACAATTTTGTAAATTTTATAATCATTTAACTGTTTCATGAAATTTTTATATTGCAATAAATATTTGCGTTGCAAAAAAAAAACTCAACAGTTTCTTAAAAAATATTTTATAATCAAAATTTCGAATTGCTTATTAATTAAGTAACAGCTACTTGTGGCTGCCACCGAATATTTAATTTGTTAGGCCACAGCCGCTAAAACACGAAGAACTGGAAAATCAAACTGTAGCTTTGGAATTGACATATTTTAATTTAGACTTTCGGCCGTAAAACAAAAATATCGCAGTTAAATAAGAATGAAAACCTTCCTTACTTAATTCCTTATTTAGCACTGTACACATTAATAGACATAATTAAAAAATCGTCAATTTAGTTGTCATTACATCTTATTGTTATCATTACAATATTAAACCCAAAATATTCAGAGGACAACTGCTACCCCTCTCTATTGGTAAAATAGACGATAATCAACACGTATAGTTAGATAGTAAAAGCTTTACCAGTAATAAGAACAAAATTATATTTTTACATTTACATAGCGGAAGATATTGATAAAAATTCTCATTAATTTGTTACATCCGTGAAAAGTTACTAAGCGTTCGTGTTTATATAAGAAAAAAATGTTTATGATCAGAATTACCAACTAAAAACTATTATTATTATTAGGTATAATGCTCTTTAGAGAATCCTCGACGCGAGTCAAATTCATTCTCACACATTTGAAAATCATTATAGCAGTGTTTTTTTTGTAGTTTGAACGCGGACGAAGCCAATGGGCTAGGATAATATGAATACATTTATATCCTTCTGGTGAAATGTAAGTAAGTTGTTATCCGTAATATATCCGATAAGTTCGACTAATAGACCTGCGATTAGTGAGCAAAGTAGAGTTGAGTTTGTAACAAATAACTGGGAATTTTCAGTATCTTCTGGTTAATTATTGAATATGATATAAATTATTACATGTTAATTTTTAAATGTTATTGTGAGATTTTTAAACGTGATATTTGATTCTTTGAGGTACAAATTATGCATGTAATTAAGTACGTCTTACCGCCACTACAGCAGCTGCTAGCATAATGTAATAAAGAAATCCACAAGTTATGATCGTTTTAGTGCATTTGAATAAAATGCTTAGGCATGAAAGCTTAGAAAAATAATAATGATCTTTGCCTTTCTACATTTAAAACAAAAACAAACGAAACAACACCGAAATGTAATAAAATTACATATTTGTTAGTAAATTAAACAATTGAATTAATGCCTTGCTTTTTTAGACATCAAACAAATGTATATAATCAAAATAATGTTAGGAAAACTAAAAATCTACTCACTTCTGCATATAAACTGCAGGAAGAGAATAACACTTGTGACTAGAATACACCGGGTAGCTTAGCTTTAAGCATTTCATTATTTTTTTGTTTTTTTTCCCCTTGGGATTAGTTATAGTTATATGTACAATGTACACACATCACAAACATTGTTTAGGCATACTAATAGCTTTCCAGACAATTTATTTCCCCTATCACAATTGTTTAACATTAGTTAACAGATAAGTATACCGTCCATATCATCGTGTATATTGATAAACTATACAGGTACACAAATATGCCGCATAATGGAAATATCATCCACGTTTATGTAATTATGGATTATTTATTTCATATCTCTCAAAAATACCTATATTATGGGAATGAGGTTACTTTTTGGTCTCCTTAGTATAGTTTTTGTGCGGTTCCGTTTTTCCTTTTAATGTGTCTTAAAATAAATGCCACACTTAGGCACTATATACACAGATAACAATTATCCGATAGAACGTTTTTTAATTTTAATGTAGTTATTTACGTAACAAGTTTAACACAATGGCTTATGTATAGGGAGTAGGTTTTCATGGTTCTAAACAGAGAAGCAAACATAACAATGGTAATAATAGACCTTGAAACCTCCCCTTTTTGATTTTAAAACTTGACATTAGTCTTGTGATCACAAAGCAAATGTTATGATGAGTATCTAATATATATATAGCATTCTGAATTCATTGTTGGAGCCTCCTTTACATTTTGTGCATTTTACCTATAATAATGATGGGATATTTTAGTACTATTCATACACAGACTTAACACATTTTTAAATAATATCAAATTATAATACATGCATCTATATAATATAACATCATACAACTAAAAATACGCTTATAAAGCATTCTCATAACTTATATTTATTTGCAAGGCATTAGTTATTCTTTAAACTTATTATTTTTTACAGCAGCCTCTCCCAAATATATTAAGCCTTGTACGTTATAAATAATAAAGACATTAATATGTAGGCCGGTTGTGGAAAGTTATACACGTAATAGTTGCATGAAAATAGCAAAACTAACATACAACTTATACAAGGACCTAATCATTATCACTTATTTAACTTTAACGCAGCTCCTCAGCTAACATTGTTTGGCACGCGCATTATAGCATAGTAATTATTCTCTTCCCATTCAAAATAAGCCATTTTAGTGTACCCAGTGTTTACCTACTACTGAATTGAGTTACCTAATCTAAGCCTAATCTGTAGGGGCAATGTTGTCGTTGTCAGATATATTCCCATATCTCTTCGGATAACGGTTAGATTGGCACTTCCAATTTTTCAGGATATACATAATATATTGTGACCATTCTTAAAGTCAACAAATGTTGCAAGTATCTACATATATGCCAAATCTTTATACCTTCTTAATCTTTGCGTATATTTTTCGCTGTATACTTTTCAAGGCAAATTTGAGGAAAATCGAAGTACAGGAGGACATATTTTTAAAATATTTTTTAGGTACATGTTCCCCTAATTAATTATTTCATCAACTTTATTTAAGGCTACTGTCGATCACGGACACTAATTCTTATCTCTATATTTACTCTATTATTATATCATTTAAAATACCTATTTGTCACTTCGAAGTGTTCTTTAATCTTTGCACGAAATAACATAATTCGAAATAGCTATTTAGAAAGAATTAGAGCGCGAATGACATAGACTTCTTTATATCCCGCAGACTCGAGGTACTTATTATTTAAATACATTGGCTAAAGTTATTTTAAAGACTCTAATCCCTATGAGTTAGCGAAGTATTTTTAAATATATTTAGTTAAAAGTCCTTTTTCTTTTCAACTATAACGCGCAAAAGCATTTGAAAATAGAAACGTTTAAAAAATAATAGTGTAATAAGTCATCTTCAAAAATGCTTCGAATGGCCTTATCATCTATATTTATAAAGTCGCTTGTCCCGATTGAATTATCATTGCTAAGACCAAACCGCTGGACCTAACGACCTCAAACTTCGACACAGCATTCCTATAACAAGATAGGTAACTAATAACTATTAACAAAGGACTTGAAATTGTACTCTTGATGATTGATGAAAGAAGTTGTAGAAAGATGTGGCAAACTTGTGTGGGAAATGACATTTTTCAGTTGTCTTATTAAATAATAGTCCGTATGTACGAGTATGTATGTGCGCGTTATGTTGTGGTAAGACCACAGAAATCTTAATAATAGCTTATTATTAAGATTTCTGTGGGTAAGACCGTTGACTGAGAATCGACTAGACTGATACATTATACTTTGTAGTCGATTTAAATGATGATGTAAATAGTCCATAAATTTCAAAACATAGTCATGACGTTATAAAATAACAAGTTGTGCTCAATCTAACTTTTAACCGATGATCCACGGAATTAGAAAGAAGTCCCATAATGAATATTTTAAAAGTTATCCAATATTTACTATATACTACCTAATCATAATATTATAATACGCAATATTCACAAAATGCCTACTACAATATTACTACATACATATATGGTCCATCAGATTTGCTATATAACATTGAACTGATGTACAATCAACAAATTATCTAGTTCAATCGACTTGTCTAGAAACAATAATGTAAAGCATTTTGAAAAAAAACATTATAACATAAATCTTACAGACCTCTACTAATTTTCCTTTTATATTATTACCTATATATTTTCCAAAATAGATTATGGTCTTTATCGAATTAAATCAAATATACATTTTTTAATATTGATTTATGTATATAATATACTAACACAAATAAAATTTCCAAATTTATATTGTTTCAAGGACCGATTTTTTAGTTTTATTTGTGGAAACAGCTTGATATTTATTTAAGAAATTGTTGCTTTATCGTGGCAGTATATGTACTAACTAACTACATACGTTTTTGTTTGGTGTCTGGGCTTAATACTGTAAAAACTACAATCTCAAGAAGAGTCTGAATGTCAATAATCTTAATTACACATAAAATGTTATTTTTTTTTCTTTTTACAACACTAATAAACACTGTATCCATAGAATGCTTTTATTGTTATGACATTTCACTTTATTACAAAATCAGTATGTGTTTTTTAGTTTATTAATTAATTTTATTGTATTATGAATATCCTTTACCTTCAACCACACCACCCCTACCATCACCTTCCTTCGTGTAAGAAATTATTTATTAACATGTCGTCTTACATTATCTATGTATATTTTTGGCAAAAATATTTTGGTAACGATTAAAACTACGTTACCTTAGTAACTTGATCTCTTTGGACAATCGATAACTTATTATTATTTAATGCGCTATGCTATGCTTAATTCTAACTATTGAAATACACAGACAAATGTATACATAATATGTACCTAATGATTTTTAAGGTGTGGGATTTCCCATTTCACAGACGAATGACGGATTGCAACGCTGATAGAATGGATAACTCTACAATACACATACATATATTATAGTAATAATAAGAGATAAACTTTTTATTTGTCTTAAAAACGTGACACAAGCGACGTTTGGACAGCTACATTATAAAAAGATTTCATTTAGTAACTGTCGTTGAATCTCCTGGAGGCTGGATGGAGATTCGGACCGCATCGGGGCCCACTACGATTTTCACCTGAAATTTATAAACTATATATTAATTACTTACTAAATGGCTTTACAATATAATAAAGCATAATACTATATTCCATCGTTAACTTGTTTTCAACTTTTTAGTTAGCTTTTATGCAGTCGGGTTTTTAATTTTTCAATATATTTATTCATGTACAGCTTTTTAAGTATTTTTAAGTAGGAAAATTTGCGAGAATGGTTGTTAACCAACTTGAAATCCTAAACTGTTATTTAAAATTAAAAATGACGAAAGAAACCTAAAAATGATTTTTAAATACCTATTCATCGATACCCCACTTGAAATAGTTCGTCAATTTTCTTTTTTTTTTCTTTTTTACGTTATGAAATCTAGCAGCCCACATTTTTTTTTTATGTCACCTATCTAAGAACACTTGGACTAATGAGAGACGAATCTAACGTTATTAATTAAAGAAATCCATCGGGTGTTTTGGAAGATTTGAAGGAATTAAGAATAAAATTACAAATAAATACAAAAATAGACGCGAAAAACATAACCCTTTCTTTGCAGTCGGGTAAAAACATAATATATCACGAAAAGGTGTGTTAAATTTATATAGAAAATAGAGAAGTATAATTATTGGGTTAAACTCATGTAACTTATGTAAATTTAGTCTTTAAAAACAAATAAATAAATTTTCTTTATATTTTTTTATAAATAAATTAGACAACAATTGATGTAAATTTAGTCTTTAAAAATAAATAAATATTTTTTTTTTATAAATAAAAATAGACATGTAGTGGTGCTCACCTAGTCGCCTTGTCAAACATTCATAGCGTAATAGACGGGGTTCTGCGGTGCGGTCATCGGCGACGTGGCCGTGGCAGCTCCCTCTGGCGCGCTCCGAGCGACTCGAGACGGAGACCCGGGAGCTGGCTGATATAAAGGAGCCGCTACCTGATATACACAGGAACATATATTTTGACATAAATCTTGAGAACGCCAAGATATCTTATTAGTATTGTAATGATATTATTAGTATTATAATATTTTATTAGTATTATAATGATTACGGCATCACATTTTAAGTTTTCTTTACAAGTTTCACATAACTCATACAAATTGGCTATGTATTTTAGTACTTTATTTTATATTTTTTTGATGATTTTAACGATATAGGTAAAATTTTCTATTTAATATTTCAAGGTTAATTAATAACTTTGCACATAGAAGGAATTAGAATTTAAACAAGCACATTAAAGTTAATTTACTTTTTATGTGACATCGATTTTCACTTCAAGGTGAGCTTTGTCTATTTATAAGGTAAAATCTAGATATAGGGCTCACTCTATAGGAAATCAGGTGATTTAAATGGGTATTTACTTGTATAGTAGCACTATCGTGTACTTGGCTGCAGGAGTTAGATGGCGCTATCAATTTAAATAAAATAAAATAATTACGCACTATAAATATAACTCAAAAATTATAAGCATTGATATTTTGTTTCATAAAAAATATCTAATATTTTTTTTGTTAAGGGACAAGTTTATTTTTTTTAATTTATTTTATTGTTTCACTTCCTGAATCTTAGGTTATAATATTTTCTAAATTCTTGTCTTATATAGGTAATGCAGTTGTTATACAGGTTGGTAATACAGCAGCAAGATGGCGTTAATTGATGAATAAATGATGTATATTAAAATTACAAGTTACTATGAAATATTAGTGTACGGAAAATTTTAAATTGACTTTAAATTATTTTTAGGAGGATTTTAATTCACGACGTCGAAACGTTTACGTCCTCAACAATATTTCTACGGATTGTGAATTGCAATAGCGTAGGATAGATGGTGTTAGGTGCTCTTCGCAGTGCATATATGCAATAAGCGCGCGCAAAATTCAAAACTTGTTAAACTAGGACTGCATGTAAATTTCATTTTGTATTCTAATTTTAAACTTTTGTGATTCTTTTATTTTATTTCTACGAAATTTCAATGTTAGAAATGGCTTGTCTAAATGTGCATCGAACAAAAAATAAACTTTGCAGATAGTATATAATTATGTACATGCATCATCTATTGCTCTATGTAATTATGTTGTCGTTTTTCTGTTTATTCTCTCAATGGATCTAATTCAAAATTAGTAACTGATATGAAATTACTGTATTTTATTTGTCATATACGAAGGCAGTGGTAGCCCAGTGGTAACGCGCTCGCTTGGGAAACCGAATGAAGTGAGTTCAAATCCCGAGTCTCCTCTGATATTTTCATGTGCGAATCATTTCCTTTGTCATATACTATCGGGATCTTCTATTAGTTAAAAGCCAAAAGTTAAGTTCTAAGTAATAAAGTGCTTGCATTCAGATATCTTGTTGCTGTTAAAAGTATTCACCTTAAGCAGGATTCAATCTTCTTGCTGTTAAAATATCTTTTCAAAATAATAATTAAAAAAAATTAAAGCAGGTAAACGACAAACGAATTGAGAGCTAGAATTATTTGAAGATAAATATTGTTCTTTTGCAAATCTCATTTTATATGAAGATAAAATTGCTCTCTATTCGCTTATAATTTTATTTAGGTATAAATAAAACAATTTTTTTTTGTTTTTTTTTTAGTTTGAATTTTATATTCCTATTTTTATTTTATTTTTATTTTAAGGGAATCACAGAGCCTGTGTCAATCACCACACGTATTAATAAATTCAATTCTTAATAAATCACATCAATTAAGTTAATAATAATAATTCCTGGTTTTTACAAATTTACTTTATTAAAAATTTAATTTGTAAAATATTACAATAAAAAGCGAACGTTGGATTAATATTTTGAATAAGCTATATATGGAACCTATACCAATATATATCTATATAGATATACGTATGTATCTATATAAATATATAATAATTAAATCTAGGTAAATATGAAGCGAAACTATTAAAAACCAAGCAAATTGATGTCGAATATTATTTTCTTATAGTAAAATACTATTAGAATCTTTGTACAAAGTTAGTAACCATTTGCATCTATAATATAGAAGTGTTTTACGAAAACTTTTTCATCTTCAAAGCATAATGTATCAATTTTGATTAAACTTCGGTAAACTTTTTAAAATATTTATAGATTACTAGTGAATTAAACATTTACTTCAATCGTACTATTTTAAATAATTTGAAGATGAAAACGCGTTGAAGATGAAAAATGTCAATCATGAACGTTAATGTTGTACGTATTTTTTCTTACAACTAGTTCGTACTCGTTGTAAGAGAAAATACGTTGCTCGCTTGATAAACTAGTTAATATGCTTTGCTTCTAAAATTTTATTATTTTACTGAATGATATGTACCAAATGATAGCGGTCATGTTTAAAACTAATGTTTTAATGCAAAATGCTTACCAAAACTGATGTAACTTATAGTAAGTTATTTTTCTATTCTAATGGGAGATGTATACGGTACGTTTTAGACGCAAGTTGTGGATTCTTAGTACGTAGTTATTTTTACCCAACTGTGGCGAAGCCCAAAGGAGAGCTATATGTTTGATTTGTATATATGTATGTATCCACGAGGACGGACAATGGTCTAGAATGCGTGTTAAGCGGCTGAATCTGGCGTCACTTTGCCGCACGCTTAACAATCGCATGTAAACATTTGTACTGGACAAGGGATAATTGGAGGACTTTTCTCTTTACAGAAGTATGGAGAGGACAACGTTTTGGAGAACCATGCATCAACGAAACAGACCGTTTTGGAGCCCAAGTGTGATGATGGTTTGGGATGGTATAACATTGTCTGGAAAAACTGAGCTGGTAATTCGAGCGAAGGGACCGTGAGCGCTGCCAGTTATGTTGAGAGAATGATCAGACCTCAAGCAATCTCATTTTTGTAAAGAATTGGCCGTAATATTATTTTAATGAAAGGTAATGGCCGCCCCTGTACGGCCCGTATTAGAAGTAGAGTTCTTCCTGACGCCAATATTTCAGTTTTATAATGACCAGCGATGATTCCTAACCTCAATTCCATGGAAAATTTAAGAGATCAGTTGAAAAGAAAACTTAAAGATAATTACAGCAACGTGAATAGCCAAAAGAGCACAAAAACGCTCTAAAAGTCTGGTGGGAAGAAATACCCGATGAAAACATAAGACATTTAATTGAAAGTGTATCAGACAGACTTAGAGAGTGGATACGATGCCGAGAGAGTCCTATACGGTATTAAAACGTGCGTGTATCTAAAAACAACTTGTTAAATAATTTGGGCAAAGTTTTTTAAGCGCTCTTTTTTGTTGCTTATACATTCTAGTTATCGTGATTTAATAAAAAAACTTTACTGTTAATGATGTTTACACAATTTGTAAATCCCACATTTAATCATATATTCAAAAAAAACTATGTGTAAATTTTTATATTTTAAAATTACGCTAGAAAAACTAAGTGGGCCCTATTTTTAATTTTAAGTAGTATATTATTTATTTACTATTTTATTTTGTGATCCTTAATTTGAATAAAATCAAAGTGAATTTAGATACGAAATGTGTACTGAAAATTTTTACTACAATTTAACATGACTTTCACAAGCCGTATTAAGTCTAAAACGTACCATACAAGTATTTGGGCAATAAAATGGTGAGATCTAATAATCTCTAGGTATAAACTATAATTATATACAAAATATAAAATATTATAATCTAAATTAAATAGCCCTTGAACTATACATTCGCATTACGCGCAAGTTATATACCTTTTCAGAATAACAAATCATTTGCTTTCCTCCACCGGGCTGTGGCGCAGGCACTGGCCTGTATCTGGCAGGAGCGGGGCACAAAGTCTGTAAAAGATAAGTAACAACTTCAAATGAAGCTAATGTTAGAAAATTCAAAGGAAGTGAAAACTAAACAATGGGAATGACATTGTTGATTAAATATTGGATAAAAGTGGAACAAAATAAAAATTAGTTTACCGAGTTATTAGCTTCGTACCTTTGTATCATATAACACGATAGAGTCTGGCTAATGAAAGCGTGACATGAAAAAACGCGGCAAATATTACAACTAGTAAGAGATAAATGTTTTGATACTTGAGTATCTTTTGCATTTACGAAAATTAATTTATATAACAGTTGCAGACTTAATTTCTAACTTAAGGAACACACCAAGTCTTGTATTTGGCTCCATACCTACTTTGTGTAATGCAATCACAACGATTCGGTTCTCTTTATCACCCCACTCCATTTTAGTATCACAAAATATTTTACAATATATTGGCGCGAAAATGAGAAAACACAATGAACAATCATATAAAATTGATAGATTCCAAATTCAAATGTAATATTTTGTTTATTTTTAATTGTAACAGTATTTATGGCCAGACTATGTATGTATATGTTCCCATTAGTATATGCACAAAAATGTATATACAGTTACTAACAACGCTCAAAACTAGAGCAACCAGAGACTTTGAAGTTTGACGTGCCTTGGACAGCTTAATAATTTTGCCATATCAAAACTTTTTATAAAATTCCAGGACACGCTTTCGTTAGCCAGACTCTAGCTTTTCAATAGGTAGCGTGGAATGGGTTTGGTTTCTTCGTCTATACATTGTTATAATAAAATTGTAACTAAGCCGAATCTGTACATTAGATATTTTTTGGAAAATCTTATCGAAATATACATTATTATCGATACAGAGGCTGAATCTATAGTTTTTAGAATTTTTGTCTGTCTGTTACCGCACAAAAAAACCATTGAAGGGATTTTGATGAAATTTGGTATGGTGGCTGGTTATCCGGGTCAACATATAGGATACTTTTTACCGCGGAAAAATATCTCATTTTTGAGGAAAAATAAAAAATTGCAATGTAAGAGTATACTAATATGTAAAACCTAAGAATTTGGTTTTTGGTAATTTGAACGCGGGTGGAGCCGCGGGCAATGCTAGTTAAAAATAAAGCTATAAGGATATTAATAAAATTTTAAATGGCGTATGCGGTAGGCGTATGACGTTCCCAATTTGTGTGCCCTGAAAAAAAAGAATCGTGACAAATCTATCGAGTGCCGTATCAAATTGGTTTTTAGAGGCGATGATCTGAATAGTACTTATACGTATAAATGTAATACTCACTTGTAATTGCAGGGCATGTGTGTAATGAGCTCGCTGGGCCACTGCCGCCCCAACGGGCTGCGGTGTGCTGGCGCCACTTAGCGTATGTTGTTGGTAGTATGAATGCTGGCGGTTATCTGCGAATGTTTCATATTGACTTGTTAATTGGTATTTAGCAAGAAGTAAGCACTGATTGACATGTTTCATGAAAACCTATACGGATAAATATGTATATATGAGGCAGACAGTGAAACCTTCTTATCATGTGTGAATCATTTACAACATTATTACCGCTATCGTTAAAGGAAAATTCGTGAAGAAACCTGCACGTCTGAGAGAATCTAGCAAGTTTTGTATTTTGAAGTCCGTGAATAGGTAGGACTTGGTTAACGTGGCCAACTTTAGTGAGGTCCCCCTAGTATTAAAAGGGTTTGTTTTTCTGAATACTCATATATGATGATAAGACAGGTTCAGTGGTATAACTTTTATTTTAAGCTGAGGTTAGTGAAGCATAAGATTTGCGACAAATTTTGTTTTAAAAAAAATTCATACGCTCAACCGTTTCTGAGAAAGAGGGCAGAGAGCCCGCACGAGGTAAACCCCCTAATATGACTGGACTATATTTACTTTGACATGTTAAAGCTACGGACAAAATGTATATAATGTAGCGGATGGAATGACAGTTACGGCAAAGAATATTTACTTACAATCATTGGGTGTCCATGTCTGTGCGTATTCTTGCTGGTAATGGTAGTGGTTGCTATAAGGGACGTACAGAAGTTGGTGATGACTTCTAATCGGCGGAGGCGATTCCGGTCTTCTACAACGAGCCGACCGAACTGGTGACGTTTGTTCTGAACTCGTTTGTGAACTGTACAGTTCTTGACTGCTGTCTGAACACCTGTATAAAATTATTGAATATCTGTATAATAATCTGTGGGATTTACTTCAGGCTTATACTGCTATTATTTATTCATTGAATTAATTAAGAAGCTAATGCTTCCAGATTGTTGTGTAAGTTTCAGCGGGAAATTCAAAATATAATCTACAATATCTAACAAAGTAAACCGTCAACTAGAGGCGTCGATCCAGTAAGTAATTAAAGGCATTTGGTATTCCACCTATATCGTAGTTTCTAATTGAAATATAGCGTCTGAGCGTAAACAGTATTTTTTAATTACGATTAAAAACGTCGTTACTAAGTGAGCCTTTCTAATTACCTCTATAATTCTCATTATCCTATATTATATATGGAATAGTTATCTAACTCAGAAACTCTTTAATGTCCGGAAATGCATTTACGTATATCACACTATCATCCTCGACTCACCCAACCTGACAATTAGAGATTTTTTTAATGATAGTGTTTTTTAGATTAGTAGTCTAGCTTAGTGTTTTTTTGGTCGCTTTTAGGCCGTATCAAAATGCACTTTTAGTCAAGGATTCTTTGTCTACGCCAGGTTTTTTTTTGTCGATCCTATTGTTTTTACATAAGGCGCTTTATATTTTATTGTATCGAGTATTGTACACCAATTACACTTCTTAAATACAACTTCGTTACTCGCAACGTCAATCATACATCACCTAACACAACCATTAATCTACATCTTGCACACGATACCTGTACTACCAATAAAAATTCTATGTAATTCTGTTAAGACAGAATAATATATTTTTTGAGAAGATATCCAAATCTTTCTTTTGTTCATCGCGAACACTCTTGTTTACTAACTAAGTAACGGGATGAAATAGGATAAAAACATTTTCCTTCTTATAAGCCTCCTGTAGGGTAGCAAGCAACGATTCATGCACTTGCATCGCATCAAAATTTTCAAAATAGGCTATCCCCATAGTCAAAGAAATAAAAATTGTTTGAATATTTTGTTAAATATTGAGAGAAGAATGGATTAAGAAGTTTATAAAAGAAAGAGATCCCGGGGGATGACAGCTGAAAATTTTGTAAAAAGAGCATAAGATGTAAACATTGTTCGTACAAAGTCTCGACCAACAGCTTTATTAAAAGTCCCCTCTATACACATTTGATACTCAAATAATATTTCTCTAACAAAACTGTAACATTAAAACAATACCACTGGTTTTAAATCTTTAATTTAATTTCTTGTAATCTCCGAAGTTGTCCGATGATCTAATTTTAGTCATGGTGTCTGATTCTCATTGAGATTAGCCATTTATTAATGTATATAACAAATATAAAATGAAATGTGCATGTTTCCTTTTTTATTTTATATAAAAACTAGCGGCTCACCCTCGCTTCGCTCGGGTTCGCCTCTAGAAAGATACTAATAGAGATCTATTAGTTCCCACGGGAACCATTCATTTTTCCGGGATGATAAGTAAGTAACCTGTTGTTAGACCGGCAATATAAAGTATCAGAATGTTAAATTTTACTAAATTAGGTGCAAAAGTTGTTGTGTACTAAGCTGTATAAGTTACTATAGTTTTTTGACTATCCCACGGAAACTCTTTAATTTTCCGGAATGAAAAGTATCTTACATGTCGACCGGGGATATACGGCACGACCATGCAAAATTTCATTTAAATCGGTCCAATAGTTTCGGAGATTAGCCCATACAAACAGACAAACAGACAGAGAACCAAAAAAATTGAAAAAATATGGATTTGTGCTATTTTTTTTCTTACGGGATATAAGAAGATAACTGACTCGGTTTTTAGCATTTTTTTCTATGTACAGATATTCGACCTCTGCAGTTTTATTATATTTATAGATAGAATAAATAACGTATAATAAAACAGTAATATATAATAATGAAAATAGTTATAGAGAGTGTACCTTAGGAGATAGACATATACTATACAAAATTTAGTTAAAATTTTCAGGTTCAGTACTTTTTGCGTGAAACGCGCACATCGATTTGACTAAGTTAGTTTTATTATAGGTATAGATAAATCATAGATATTGCTTAGGAGATATACGTATACTATTCAGAACTTTCCTGTCGGACTTTTCAAGACCTACAATTTTTTAGTATATTGCTTTGATGTATGTATGTCTTAAGTTTTAGCCAGCGGAAGGTTTCTAGGGAGAACTCGATAAAACCAGTCATTTTATCTTCCCGTGAGAAAGAAAGATTTTCTTGAAGTAAAAGGTATCCTAAACGTTGACTCGAGTAATAAGTTATCACTTCACCAAATTTCGTTGAAATCGGTTCATTACTTTTCGCGTGAAACGCGCATACAATAAAAACTTAAAAACAAACTTAACAAAAAAATAAAAATCGACTTCAAACAAAAACACAAAAAAGTAAAAAATAACTGATTAGTAATTTTCATTTACTATACATACCTAATCAAATATTTTTGAAGTCAGTGTGCTTTGCTTTGTATGGGCTGGCACCGATTTCGAAAATATTTGATTAGGTATGTATTTAATAGGTAGTCTTTAATTACTTAGCCAAAGCACACCGACTTCGAAAATATTTCATTAGGTATGTATAGTAAATGAAAACTACCAATCAGTTATTTTTTACTTTTTAGTGCTTTTGTTTGAAGTCGGTTGTTATTTTTTTGTTAAAAAGTTTTTATTTTTTCCTTTTTAGTGTAGACAGTAGTAGCACATAAAGAATTCTAACGTGTTAGGTTTGTCAAATCAAACAAAATAAGCCCAAACTCAAAGTATCTACTATTAGCCGTTGAAGAGTTCCACCTATCCACCTTCTGGCCTTACCATCAGATCAGGTCAACAATACCGAACCACTGTACTATCAACGGAAATAGAAACTACACTGTACTATCAACGGAAATAGAAACACTTGCAAAGTTTCAAGTCAATATGACAATTAGAAGTAGGTTAAATCCATCATTAGCTATTTTTCCATCCTTAGGAGTGGTTTTTTTTTAATTTAAATGGGACCAATCTGGAAGTATACACTTCCAAACAACACAAAACTTGTCCAAATCGGTTAATAAATGACGGAGTTCTGAGGTAACAAACATAAAAAAATACAGTCGAATTGAGAACCTCCTCCTTTTTGAAGTCGGTTGAAAACAGACAAACAGACAATTTTTTAATAGCTATTGTTTTGGGGTCTATGTTGTGTACATAATACGTTACAAATAAACGAAAACATCTATCCCACGGAAACTGTACATTTTTCCGGGATAAAAAGTAAGCTTTTTGTAATTCTGTCGCTAGGTCATACACCTATATTATTGTAAAGTTTCATCAAAATCCAATCAGTATTTTTTGTGTACTAAGCTGTATAAGTTACTATAGTTTTTTGACTGTCCCACGGGAACCCTTTAATTTTTGTTTTGTTTTTGTTTAGTTGTTTAATTTTTGATTTGTTATTATCATGTATGAACTATATTATTGTACAGTTTTATTAAAATCGAATCAGTAGTTTTTGTGTACTAAGCTGTTTAATTTATTATAGTTTTTTAGCTATCCCACGGGAACTATTTAATTTTCCGGGATAAAAAGTATCTAAGATGTTGCCCGGGGATATAAGGTAGATTCGGAAATTAGCCCGTACAAACAGACAAGCAGACAGAGAATCAAAAAATTTGAAAAAAATCTGTATTTGTTCTATTTGTTTTCTTACATCCCCCTGACTCGGTTTTTAGCATTTTTTGCTATGTACATACATTCGACCTCTACTCTTTTATTATAGTATAGATAGAAGATATTTTATTTAAATCCTACAAGAAAAGATTCTCTAATAGATCAATTTGCTATGAAACATACCGAGTATGTACTGACTAAGCACGGATAACCCTCAACAGTTACCGCATGTTAAACATTTTATTTCTTTTCGAGCTCGCCAAATGCAGGGACAAGTTCCGCCTCCGATGTGCGTTCACCTTGTCGTTGATGTCTTATTAGCATCTGGCAATCTAGCCGGGCATGAAGCCAGAGACACACCGGCCAAGTATCCTACTTCGGTGGCGGTGTACCATGCGGGTTGCTCTTGGTACTTCTCTGTTATCAAAGTGGACCGTGGGACCCCTTGGTTGTTATGGTTAAGTGCGTAAGCAATCCTGCGACGTTCCATTAAAACTAGCCAGTGAGCCCCACATACGTAATATAATATATATATCTCAACAATAAAAAGAGATGCAAGATATTTTGGAAGCCTTACTCCAAAAAAATATAAAAAACTAGCGGGTCACCCTCGCTTCGCTCGGGTTTGTCGCTAGGTACGTTTTAAATAGATATAAATAGTTATTAGCCAGCGTTAGCCATATAACTTTTAATTTTTTTTGTTAATAATATTGACAAATATTGACATTAATATTTATACGATACTAACGTCACTCAATTATTTTGCCTTCCCGGAACCTGTCCACTAACACTTAAACTTTATGGTATGGTATTAAAGTTCAAATTGACTTTTAAGTATTATGACGAATCTTTTGTATGGGAGTATAGAAAAGTGTTGTTTTTAGACTTTATTAGGCAATTATTTAAATTTTTCTCCCGTAAAAACCATTCTCGTACTTCAAGGAATATTCTAAAAAAAGAATTAGCGAAATCGGTTCAGCTGCTCTCGAGATTTGCGCTTACCAACACTTTCAGCGATTCATTTTTATATCATAGAATAATGTAATACAGAAAAATATAGCCGAGAATTCCACAAGAAGATAAATATTTTAATAACTTCACCAAACTTTGAGAGTGGAAAGTAAGAAAAACTAAAGATTCGCATGAATAATGAAGCAAAATTTACAGAATATTTTAAATTTAGTGTATTGCAAGCATTACTTATATAGTTACAATTAGAAAAATTGTGTTACATTTGCCTTAATCCTTATCGGATAAACACGAATCAAAAATCAAAGGAACAATTTGAGTGCCTATTTCATAACTGACACACGAAATAAGTAAACAGAAAAGCTCTTCATGCGCTTTCGTTTGGATGATTTTATAAGTCCAAAAAGTGGATTATGTACTTCACATGGTTGTATGTTTGTCAATTTCTGTCTGTCCTCATAACTATTAAGTAGATAAATCTGTTTCACTTATTCTATTTACATCATTAGGTTCATCTTATTATTATGCAATTCAAAAAAATTCTTTGTCCAAACCTATTGAGTAACAAACGAATGGTTTCAAAGTTTATCATAATATGATGACTACGAGTAGATATAATATTACTATTTGCCTACAATTTACATATTTTTGAAAAAACTCATTCAGATATTTTTCGGCTTTTTCAAATCGTCCTATTAATTAGTTTAAATAAAAATACGTGTCCGAGTCCATTTAGTAAATGGACATTTTTATTCAATTTCGATTGATTAACCTAGATTGAATCTTGTCATGTTGCTCTCGATGTTCATTTGGCGCTTGAGCTGGGCTGCATTCAATTGTAAGGGACGTTTACATTTAAATTGGAACAATGTATAATATGTCATGTCGCAAGCGTATCGTATGATTCGTCATTAAACAACCGACACCGGCGTGTTAACGCTTGATTTCATGCAAAATACCGAAGGTAAATTCATGATGCTTCTGAATTTAATTCATATTTTAGGAATTTGTAAGTTTGATTTACAAATAATTAGAAAATGAAGATGCGGACTTTACTATTATGCAAAAAATAATAGCTATTAATACAGTATTAGTACAGTATTTCTGGACCAAATAGTCATATTCATAGATTAATTTATCAGTAAAAATTACACATTCCTTCCTCGTTTATCACTCTTTTTATGTGTGAAAACCGTATTAAAATCCACCAACCAACGTACCAAAACAGTGTAGTTAAAAGAAGTAAACAAAGAAACAGGCTTTTTTTTTTTTTTTTTTAGTTTTTTAGTTGAAGAGTTCCATCTATCCACCTTCTGGCCTTACCATCAGATCAGGACGCTTATACCGAATCACTGCATTATCAATGGCAATAGAAACACTTGCAAAGTTTCAAGTCAATATGACAATTAGAAGTGTTAATCATAAAATATGTTACAATTCAATAGACGCCTACGAGTTTGAATACTACTGTCACAATAGAACTTCGCCCGTCTAGATTGACGGCGGTTCTCAAAAACCTATCAATAATAATAATATATCTGAAGTTTTCCATACAAATGATATTAAAATTAAATTATGTATTATTAAAAAATTACACCCCTTTCGCTAGTAGGAGAAACCACAGATAGAGGTTTTGGGATTCGTCGTTACACGGCCAATTTCTATCACCCGGTTGCAAGGTCGTGTAAAGCTAAAATGTTAAAGCTCCCATTACTAAATCTTCACGGCTCCGTTTGTATGGAAGCCCTATGTATTTAAGGGGCACGTTCACTCAGTTACTAAAGTTGATCAAAATATTCAGCTCCGTAATTAGAGTTAATCAAACGTAAAGTCCTTGCCAACTGTATTTTTGATTAACTTTACTGTGATTTTGTATAGATCGACGTTGGTTGGATATTTCATAAAGCACGAGCTTATATAAATACAACGCTAAAGCGCCATTTACATAGAGAGAGTTTCTTATCTCGAAGATACGATTATCGATATCAAGAAAAAAATATGATCATGTAATCTAAACACGATATCGTACGTGGAAAGGCATATCGTAATCGCCTTGTTATTGTTTATTGGACATCTATCTGTGTAAACAAAATTTGAAAGCAAGAATCGTATTTCAAGTACCTCTTATAGATATTGACTTCTCAATTTTTTTTTATTTTTATTGTTATTTCTTTCAAGCGAAATTCCTCAACTCCCAGTTCTCAAAAGCATTGAGTGCTGCATTTCTTGTATCACGATCTTTATAATTTTTATGCTCACTATTACACAAGCACTCGTAACTTTTATAAAGTGCAATAAATTTAATATTGTCAGCAGATCCAAATTTATATGATTTTTTTGTAATTTTGAAGACAATATCGTGCCAATCACCGAGCTTAAATGGCAAATCTCGCATTCAATTCGTTTCAAACCGATTTGTACAGTACCTACTCGCATATAATTGAAAAAATGTCCGATTTGTGTCGTAGTCTAAACAAAACGCTGACGATAATTACCTTACGAATGTCGTATGACATATTCATTCGTAGGCGAGTTTTTGTTTTTTTTGATTGAATGTGAACATGTGAATGTGATTATCGGCTAAAGATTATCGCCTACGATAATAGCATACGACTTCTCGCCCCAAAACGTGCGATAAACTCTCTCCATGTAAATGGCGCTTAACTAATGTTGCCCAATGTATTGAGGTATAATGAGTGGACGGGTATTATTTGATTCGTCTTTACGTTTTTTTCATTTGTCGATTTTTGAGTACCTAACGATATATCGAAAACTAAGCGAGATATCGAAAAATTTTATTCTTACTTTTCGGCGTATCTCGTCGAGATCTATGGGAATCAGCCGTAGCGTAATGGTGCCGTAGGAATCGTAGTATCCCTTATAGCTTTTATTGTATAACTTACCCAATGTTAGCGTACAATGAGCAATTTCTATACATGGTCTCCTGTTGCCGCTGATAGTAGGTGGCCATGCTTTGCGCGTGGGCGTAGCACGAATCACTGTGTTGTGACACCGGTGTACTACTGCACTGGCGTGATCCGTAGTCTGATTTTGACCTAATAACAAAATAATAAAATATGCTTATACCTCATGCCTTTCAAATGATAAAACTCACAAAGTTGAATCTGTAATAGAAGGTATTAATTAAGTATTAAATTACGAAACTCCTACATAGTATAGGAGGTCCCTTCATTTCTCTGTACTAATGCATATTATTGATATATATATATATATATATATATATATAATATATATATATATATATATATATATATATACCTATATAGTCCCCGTAATTGCTTAGATGTAAAATGAAAATATGCATGCTTGCAAAGCCATATTCAGATGCTATACATATTATTTATTTAAATTAATCATACTCATGTTGTAAATATGTACCAACAACTAAATTGTCAAATGGTTTAAGTGGCAGTTTAGTTTTATTATGGGTTGACCTTGTACTTTAGTAAGCACATAATATATTACCTGTGTGTACTTTAAAAATATAGATTCCTTAAGTAGGTATGTGAAAGAAGCCGTAAGTGATATTTGTTACGGAAATAGTACCCTATATTGTATTGTCAATTGGCACTTTCAGTTGTCATTTTCACCTTATTTTCTTCACAAGCATGATTTATATTAAAATATTTTCGTAAATTACATCACGCTTTATATTTCTGAATTACTTCAATTATGCCGAAAATATGAAGGTGGTGCTCTTATTTAACGAATTACCGATTCCGATAAAGTAATTGTACGCAAAATATTTACTAGCCGTGAAAATGCGGTAGATAATTAACGGTAATGGAATAAATTTTATTTATTTGCGACTCAAAACTTTAACCGTAATAAAAATACTAGGATTAATTATATTTACACGTTTATATATGTTATCGCATAAGAAAGATGATACATTACGAATAATTAACGCTTATAGAATATATTCCATGAGCGTTAATTATTCGCAATATTTCATTTCGATCTTTATTACCTACTGTACACTGTACAATGAATATTAATAATATTGCCAAAACGATTTTATAAATATAAACTTGTTAAGTTTGAATATCTACTCGTATTATAATACATACATGTAACTAAAGTGAAATGCGAAAGCAAGAGTTTTTTATACAATATGGGCTGAGAATGGGATGCTTAAAATCGAAGTAAATAAAAAAATTGTTTTCTTTAGATATGAAAGATACTGGTATGAATATTATTCAACTTTATTTCACACCTAAAATATTTTAAAAATGGCGTATGTACGTATTATTAATCTTATATACATTATTTAACGGATACTCTATTTAAATAGAAAGTACAGTATTATGTGATCTGTGACATAGGTAACACAAACAGTAGCCAGGAGTCACCCTGCCCTTTTGCGATTTCTTCATACCATTCTTAATATCCCGCTGACTGATTTTGGCCAAGGCGGCGGATCTCACTGAGACTAGCTATTTGCGCAGGAGATTTTATATTGCACAAGTGTGCGCGCAGATAAAAGTACACTCTCTATTTCTTTCACTCTCAAACTCCAATGAGACAACAATTCGACACGAACGCCGAGAGATCAGGCGCAGGACCAACGGCTTTATATGCTTTCCGAGGCATGAGAATGAAACTCCCAACTTCGGCTGTTACTAATACCCTCAAACCTAATCCTCTGGATCGTGCATGCTAGCTACTAGATGACCAAGGCAGTTTTAATTTTACACATTTATTACACTAACTAGGCTAACTAGGCTAGTGAAAATAATATAAAGATTAAAGATAATCAAATATTTGTCAGAACTAAAGTCGAACTTATATCCTCCGATATAGAAGACAATTAAAAGACTGCACCTCGACGGCTGATCTGTACCAATAATTATTATTACTCTTTCAATTTTATTTAGAAATAAAACCTAAGTCAGTTGTTAAAAGAAAATCTACAATTGCTATTGTTTGTTTATTTTAGTTTTCATTTAACTTCACTTAGCTTAAAATTGTACAACAATAATAATTTTTACACAGTTCTGCCTTGACCTTATAACTTGTTTTCTTCATCGTGACTTCTTACCTGATTACGTAGTTTTCGTTGCTAAATTTCCTTATTTAAAATATATATAACGTAGCATAGGCAATAGCTAGGATGAGGCTAATAAAATTTCGAGATATTCCTTAGATATATTCTTATGTTCAGTACTTATGCATCATTAACTTAATTTTTTTATAATCATCAGTACTACTGATAAACTACTGATTCAGTAGTCTGTCCTTTGTGGAAAGTACCTTTTTCTGAGAAGAGCTGAAGAGAAATTCAACAGTGGCCCTTTTTGAGTTACAGAATTTATAATAACATCTAGCATGGCTCGCTGCTCCGCCCACGTACAGATGACCAAAACCAAATTCTTAGGTTTTACATATTAGTAGGTATACTCTTATATTGCAGTTTTTGTATTTTTTCTCAGAAATGAGATATTTTCCCGCGGTAAAAAGTATCCTATATGTTGACTCAGATAACCAGCTATCAACCAGCTATCAGCATAACAAATTTCATCAAAATCATTCGTGATGCGGTAACAAACAAAAATTCTAAAAACTATAGGTTCGGCCTATGTATCGATAATAATGTTTATTTCAATAATATTTTCGAAAAAATATTTAATGTACAGATTCGGTTCAGTTACAGTTTTATTATATGTATAGATTTACACAAAAAACAATTCATGACTAGTCACTGGTGGTGGCACAGCAGTGGTGATGCCGACATCTTCCGATTTCTCCACAAAACTAATAAATAAATATATATCATTTTAAAATAGCCAAAAAAAATATTTTTCATTAAAACGCTCATATAGAAAATTGGAATCTTACAGAAGTAAAAGTGAGTGATGCGTTAAAAAGGATCAAGATCTTTACTTATTGGATTCTTACAAAATTAGGAATCATTAGACACGTCCGATTTAATTACGTAAGGATCCCAGGAAATAAAAGGCTCGCACAGTTATTCTGTCCTCCTTTTAAGGAGACGCGTAAAACACCAGTACGTAGACAACCCGCGGTAGTAATATATAAGAGCTAAAAAATAAAATTATTTCCCCTCGATATTTCTTACTGTTAGAAGCGTCTGGTCACGTGTAGGCTCTTTATACCCGTCACCATGTCGTTGTTAACAATGCAATATAGGGAACTAATTGAATAGTGAAACATAATTCATATTCCGTTTTACGTTATTATAATATTCTCAGTGACCAAGCTGAAAATTAAATTTATTTTTATTTTCAAAAAACCATAATTGTGTTATGTTTTGTAATAGGTTTTGCAGTAAATTTTATTAATTTGCCTCGATTTAAGTTACCTACTTACCAGTTAGTATTAACACTTGTTCTACTCTGCGGCCTGGAGTTCAGATTTGCTTCGGAGTAATAAGGCCAGGAGTAGTTTGAGCTGGTTCGCTGGCACGCGTGGCTGGGCACGGGAGTGGTTGTTGTGGAAGTTAACGTTGGCTGCAGTTCATTTTGCATTTGTTGCAGGATTTCGTCTGAAGCCCCCAGTTGTTGTTTCACTGCTATACCTCTAACTGCTGGTCGACGGTGAAAACCTAAGAAATATATAATACATATAATTTAATTTTCAAATGCAAATCATAAAGTGACCAATAGTTCAAATGTAGTATTAAAAAATCTAAAGTTAATATTTGGCCTGTTTAAGGGCGCAATACGCGAAAACGGCTAGGCGATCTTTTAGACATGTAGTGTAGCTTAAGAGGATTGGCTAAGTTACATTTTAATCCGTAGGACGTGCATCGTGGCCAGCGCGCACTGCAGAAGGTAGAGTAAATATAATTAACAAGTTCTTTTTAAGGTAGGTTACTCATTTTAAAAATATTGAATTGATTTTTACGTAAGCAATGTTTATAAAATTTTATACTAAATAAATGCACACAGTCACATAGTTACAAAACACAAATCATTTGCATTTAAACATTTTCTAAAGAAATAGTAGGTATATTATCTGATATAAGAAACAACATGTGTACGTAGTAGTACGTACGTATGTACATTATATTCTGAGTTCATGGATTATTATTGTACGAGAATCGAACTTGTATCAGCTGCTGCACTGCCAGACACATACATCATATCACAATCTTAAACCATGTCAACTACATAAGACCGCGCAAGAACATAAAGGAAACTTATACACTTTAAACTTACAAACAGATTTTAATGTATTTACGTCTCTGTACTATTTAGTGCCGTGTGGTAAATAATATTGCATAGATATGTAGGTCATACTGCAAATGAAATGTTTGTTATAAAAGTCACTAACGACTAACTTTCGAAACTTAAACAAGCAAATTGTGTTAGGTATTGTTCTGAACTAACAATATGTTCATTATAAGTTCGAATATTCACCGAGTTTCAGTAAGCATACCTTTGTAAAATATTTCGTATATTTAAACGTGTTTACAAATGAATTTATATTTTTACCAACTTCAAAACATCTCTGGTAAACAAATAAAGGTATTTAATTTAAAAAAAATAGTAATTGTTCCCTGCTTAGGGATGGAATATTAACAAAGTAAATTATTTCTATTATTAAATATGATATTTTAGAATTTGGTGTACATTTTTTAGTAAAGAGTAAATATATAAAAAAATCGTAAGAAAATTATTATATCGTGAAGCTAGCTCCAATAAATGAGCAATACATTTTATAGTATAAAATAGCAGGCTGAACAAGTTGTAATTACATAAAGAATTAATCAAGCTCTGCATATTCATATGAGGAAACCTGCAATCCGTTAACGGCATACAATGCAGTATTATCAGTGGTAGATTGTAAGTGTAGGTGGCGTAAAATTCAAATCCTAAGGCATTCATCATCATTATAAAAACATCATAAAAATTCAAAAATAGAATTGCATCATTGTTTGTCGAAAAAGTTTTTAATCTCAATAGTCGTTTTTTGTTCCACCATTATATTCGCGAGGCCAACTTGGTTAAATAAAGCTCGATTGGTAAATTAATCCAAGAATTGATTAACGACTTAATAATGCATGTAAAGGTACGATTTTTTTTTTCATAATTAATTCGTATATATTTATTTATATCATTATTTTTTAATTTGGATACTTTTGAAGAAATCCAATAAGTATCACTTATAGAAAATCTCGAAAGGTACTTATAATAAGTAAAGTAATAACTAAGAATGTATATGGAATCCAACCCATCAGCAAAATATGTCAGAGTATGTCTGACATATTTTACCTATCGAGAGATTAGACTGAGCAATACTGATTGATGAAATTGACTACTTTCTAGAAAGAAAGAAAGCGAACGTGTGGTCAGTACTTGTCTTTTATCCAATTTGAATTTATGAATGGAATGTTAAAAGGTTATAAATATCTATCTTCATTAATCGTATATTTAAATTAATACAGTAGACTTCTGGCCGCACATTCGTTTTCTTTGGTCAGAGACGTGACGCTGACATTTGAAAGAACATTTCGAACTCTACAGGTGGTAGAAAACACAGAGAAATCAATCATTTTTCTGTGGACTGCAGTGTTACTTAAATGATGAGAGGGTAGGATGCGTGATGGCGCAAATCATCTGTGCGTCGGTACGCTAAAATACATTACTTATTGCTAAGACGAACTGGCCTGTATTAAATAAAGTTAAATGAAAAAAAAGAAATAAGATTGTGTTTGGAGGGTAGCCCAAAGGTAAGATCAATATTCTACTCGATGACGAAGCCGAAGTGTATAAGGCGAATTCGTTAAGATTTTTTATATTGATCGCGTAGAGCTAATTAATTTTGTAATTAATGTTTATAATTAAATTAAAATAAACTTACCATAATCATCGTGTTCATCATCGCTACTGACTGGCTGTGACTCCTGGCCGTACCGCTGGCGCAGGCGCTCCGTCCGTGGCGCAGACGCCCGAGCAAATGCTGCTAAACTGTCATCACTTTCACAGGCACCTTTACAAAAATATATTGCTAATAATCATTTTTATTAACATATTTTATAATACTAAATATAACACCAACGATAATAATTTATTATTAGCTTTAGTCTGTGATTATTTTATATTTTTTTGGAACGAACATCTTTAACGCGGCTTCATAACATAAAAAGCGTTATGAGACGTTCGGTTCGTCCGGAGTAGTTCGCCGTCACACTTTTCATTACTTTTACATTACGTGTTAGTTAAATGTGTCGATGGTATTCTCCCGTTAAATAAAATCGTTTTTTAATAACTAACAATTTTATTAAGAGTGAATTATCTGATTTTCATTTCATTATCTGATTATTGCAATTTTGTAATTGAGATTTAAGAAATGGAAACTACAACAAGTATGTGTAATACAAACTTAGAAAAGTAAGTTCATAAAATTTAATATTCTGATATAATTATGTACTGTTTCCATACATTTAATGAGTATGAATTATTTACTTTTTATAAACATTTAAGTTATACGTGCCTGAGTGTGCCAATAGTCACTTTACGAGTATATCAAGCTAGCGACACCCTCGCTTCGCTCGGGTTCGTCCCTAGCTTGCTTCCCCATACAAACTTTCATTCCCATTTTCACCCCCTTAAGGGATAATTACCGGGATAAAAAGTAACCTATGTCCTCCCCAGGGTCTCAAACTATCTTCTTACCAAATTTCATCTAAATTGGTTTAGTAGATCTAGAGATTACCCCCTACAACGTTCAAATTCACAATTCACAAACTCATAAACTTTACCTGTTTATAATATTAGTATAGATTACATTCGGAATTAAGAAAAGGCGTGAGGAACTTCGTTCCTGACGGGGGACCCCCGCTTGTATGTTTTTTATTGGTTCATTTCATAGAGAGTGCAACCGTTAAAAGAGTTAATATTAAAACACTGCTTATGTTTTAAAATCTATAGTTTTATGATTAGGTTAATGAAAAGGAAAACTGGATTAAAATTAAAGCAGCCTAATCAATTACTTTGATGAGTTAACTGCTACATAAAAGTAACGATCACTATGAAAAAATCGTGTAAATGATTTCCAAATCATAAACTCGCTTAACCCTTTAAGGTAACAAAAAGGGTCACATACAAATCCACAGCTAAAACTATATCGTCCATAAGGGTTTAGTAGAAGTTCAATAAATAACTAGAGTAAGGTGTGTGAGAAAAAAACTAAATTTTCTTGCATTGACTCTACTTCCTTCATAATATTATATTATTAGTCAAGAAACTAGAGAAGTGTAATAATTCTTGAATATTTTCCATTTTATGAATAATTGGAACTATAATAACTATAAGGCTTTTAAAGTTTTGTTAACGAAGATCGTCCTTATACAAATAAGGTGGCGCAAAATTAATCACCCAATTTTGTTTTTGAATAACTTTTTTGCTAAATAAAAAAAAAGATTTTGAATCTTTATTTGAATCTGTACAATTTTTTCTATTAAGTGGAAAAGATGAAATCCGTCAAGTGGCTGCCGCTAGTGTTGATACACATTTGTGCCTGTTTTATCGCATTTTCCATCGTGATAACTGTTCGCATTCCTGTCGAATATTCTCATTAAAGGCAGCGCTGGTCTGAGACTTGTTGTTGTGTGGCTTGGTGCAGTGTTTGCGGTTTCACACACTGCATGAAGCCACAATTGACAATTGACAAAAAATTAAGAAATGTAATTGTAAAGTTTTTTTTCTCATTAAGACTATTTCGTTTTTTTTAAATGCGTGTAAAATATTATAGCAAAATATGTTTTACACATAATAAAATGAAACTTCTTTAAATATTTATAATGCCATCTATGAAAACTTATAACGCATCACTTAATAAAAAAAAGTACGGAAATTTGATTTAGTACCACATTATTTTATTTTTCTTAATTAAGAGTATATTTTAAAACTAGAGTGTACTTATATCCCACCATTGGTTGTCAACTTCACCGACAAAAGAATTGAGATCTAAATGGATGCCAAGTTCTGTAGATAATCCTAATTTTTTTTCATAAGAACATACAATATGCTAAAATAATTTTAAAACACACACATTTTCTTGTTTTTTTCTGCTACAAAAGTGTTTACTGTTTCAAAATAGAACTTCTTAAATTTGAACAGTCGAATTATTTACACAGTAGATAACTTAGAATAAATTGAAGTACAAGTTTTGACTTGGCTAGTTTTTACCAGTAAAGCAAGTTTTTGGAAGAGTGAGATATGTTGACCTTACAATATAAAAACTGTAATTGCGTATAGCATAACAGAACATTAAGAAAATATAACTGATTAAACGAATAAAACTTGTATAAACATGGAAAGCTAAATATTTTCCTAACATAACACATTCACTGCAATTCACGTATACGTTTAATACAAAGTTTTACTAAACAATTCACATACTGTATGCTTAACACAAAGTTTTATGAAACACTTCACGTATTTGTTTAATAAAAAGTTTTATGACAATATTTAGATAACTCATGTCGTGTGATAATAATTAACTTAATCATATTTCCAACAAACGAGTAGCTAGACGACAGACTTTATATTTAATAAACTAACAACTAAATTTAGAAATGAAATCGCATACAATTAAACATAAATAGGTAGGTATATGCAAATTAATGCCATAATGGTTAATATCTTACCGAAATTAACAAATATATACGACACATACACACCCACAGAGAGAGAGAGAGAGAGAGAGAGAGAGAGATACACACAGAGACACGCGCGCACGCACATGCACAAAATGTCTATATAATGCTAAAATAAAGATAAAACTGTCAAAAGCAATGCACTTGTAAATAAACCGCGAACAGCCATATTAAATTTTAATTTTATTGAAGAAAGTCTTCAAAAATGACTACACGTTATTATTATGACGGTTGGCAGCAGATTGCCTGGCGCAGTATTCTAGTGTAGTGCGCATGCGCGAGTTGAGTAGGATGGTGAGATAGTATTTTCAAAGAGCGCAAAGAACAAAAGTATGAATGAAACTAAATTTTGTATTAAAACAATAAGCTAGAATTCTGCGTCTTATAGCGGCTATTTCTATTAAGTTAGAATTTTGCGTTGCACTTGTGAATCGCTGTGGTCGCGACCGTCTCAATACAATATATTATAAGTTCTCTTAATGTATCCTGAGGTAGATGATTGGCTCAGTCACTCCTTCATAGCTAACACCCCACCAAACCATCACTGAAGTCGGATAATACCCACGTTGTACTCTGTTGACTAATTGAGAAGCTTCCCTAAGGAAGCTCTAAAGCTTTAAGCATAAATACGGTCATTTTGTTCATTAAAATATTGCTCAATTGTAAAACTTTTCTCATCCGTAAACAATTTTTTTCTGTGACCTCCCTTTGCGTACCGCTTAAGTAGTTGTTTTGATTTTACCACCCTTTCTTTTTTAAATTATCAGTTAAGAAATGACTACTACTACTCTTATAGGCTGCAAGTCCTAAGTCATCTTTTAAAATACGCGACATGGTTCTTGGTGCTATCTTCATCTCCCGAGATAAAATCATTTCCTTTCGGACAGCATTTCTACGATTTTTTCCCTTACTGCTTTGATCGCCTTTTTCGTACGAACACTACGTGGACGGCCAGATCTTTTCCTGTCACAAACAGACGAGGTTTCATTGTACCTATCAATAGCCCGGTACACAAACATTTGGCTAATACCAAGCGTATGAAGAGTTTTAAAATTGTATTTTGCTCCATACCTACTTTGTGTAATGCAATCACAGCGATTCGATTCTCTTTACCACCCCACTCCATTTTAATATCACAAAATATTTTACAATATATTGGCGCGAAAATGAGATAACACATGAACAATCATATATAATTGACAGATTCCAAATTCAAATATAATATTTTGTTTATTTTTAATTGTAACAGTGTTTATGGCCAAACTATGTAATATGTATATTATTTATGGACACTTGGCCAGCGTGGTGGACTATGACTTGATTCCCCTCTATTGAAGGAACGCCCGTGCCCAGCTGTGAGATGTCAAAAATGGAGTTAAAAAGGGTTAAAAAGAATACAATGAATACAATTTATGGACATATATATTTATGCATTGTGTATGTTTTTGTATAATTGTAATAGCTAATCTGTACACCGCCTACCATTTCTGCCATACTAAAAATGTAAATGTAAAATTTTTCCTTTGTGTATTATTTGTTTAATAGATGTCGCTTAGAAGCCTTACAATCAATAGAAAAGATCATAGAGGTACTTAATTATATCGTATCGTGCAAAAAAAGAGATATAAACTGTTATGGATGCAATGAGATTCTAAGGATAGCAAATGTCTCAAAGTGAAGAATTCTATCATAATATAGGCGATATAGGAGATTTATTTTAATAAACGCTCGAAAATCTATACTACCAATTAATGGGCATATTCGCAAAATGTGCATAGCCAAAAGCAACGTGAATGACGTTAAAATTGGTATAGTAAGTATAGGTTACGTGAAACGATGAACCAATCGCTTCATGAACTATTGAGGCCAGTGTGATAGGATATGGTAAGGGATATAAAGGACGCACGAAATTGGATTCTGGAGCACTTTGATAACTCGATTGATAAGCTGTAGGTACAGAGGGCTTTTTTCTCGAAAGAGTTATTTATCGTAGATGGAATGTTTTTTGGTAACTTTACCAAAGTTAGTGTTTGGATGTAGGAAAATAACTATGAAGCTAATTATCCAATAATATTGTTTTGAAATATTATGAGGAAGTCTTATGAAGTATATAAAATAATCTATGTTGACCTTTATTCATTAATACTAATTTACAAATTACAATTGTTAAATAATGGAAATATAAAAAAATATTTTCTATACAAGAAATAACAAATATTGACATGACAAAACAATGTTCAAAAATATGGCATCTGTATCTAATTTAGTAATTAAGTAGAAAGATAGAGTAGTAGTATTAGTAATTATAGAGAAATAAATAGAAAGATATGTATAAACAACAAAAAAAATTAATGCCGTCGCGGGACACCTGGCAGATGTAAAACTTCGAAACTATTTTGTATAGAAAACTACATCTTAAGATGTTTTATTAAAGGAAATGCCATATTATGGCTTGATCAAAAACAAAATATATAGTTAAAAAAATGAGAGAGAGAGAGAGAGAGAGGAAGGAGGGGATTGCCGAGCTGAGTGGGGAGAGTGAGAGTTACGAGCGTATGGCGACGTGGCGACGCATTGCCACGACAATAGACGGTTTGACTCGCCGCATTATATGTTTTACATCAAAAAGTTATAAGAATGTGTGTCTGCTTAACATATTCATATATATAAGATAGAAATATCTATAATATAATATAGCAAGACAGTAGCAGCTCAGTGGTCACGCGGTTGCTTGAGAAACCGAATGAAACGGGTTCAAACCTCGGCCTCGCAACTCTGATATTTTCGTCTTACGGTGAAGGAAAAATGTTGAGGAAACCTGCATTTCTGGGAGAACCTATCAAGTTTTCAAAAGACATGTGAAGTCTGATTTTGGGAACGTGGTGGATTATGGCCTGGTGCCCTCGTATTGAAAGGAGTAATTACTATATAATATCGGATTTCCTTTACTTAAATAAAATACTTAAAAAGCAACAGATGAAAGTGAAATATTTGAAATTGATTTTGTACATTGAGTTTGTAAAATAACACCTTCACAGTTAATTTACCACGCAGTTTTTACAGAAGTCTATGTAGGAAATTGAAAAAAATATCAGATAGATTTATACTCTTTCGAAACGTTTTATAAACTAGTATTATATTTTAAATTACCCCAAGTTTTAAATGTTCATACTAATCTTCATTCTAATATGGATATTTTTAAAATTATTTTTAATAAGTATCTTCTATTTTTTCTTGGAAATAAGTTTTCTTTACTGAAATATAAAAAAAACGTAAGATCCTCTCACGCTTTTGTCAATCTCTAAATTTTGCTATTGTGAAGAACTAACCAAGAAGAAGTAATCCATACAAATACTAAATAATCTGGTAAAGTATTTACATATGCTATAAACATAAAAGAGATAATAAAAGAAGAGGGAACGTAAAATATTATGAAGTAAAGTGATCTAAAGTATTACTTAAGAAAATACATTATATTTTTATTTAATTATTGTATCAAAGATATGTTACATATAACTTATACGTTTATTTATATAGTTGCTATATAAACAAAAGTATTATATTTTTTTGTGATAAGTTGTATATAAATTTATAATCAAAGTAGTGCATTCTTTTTCCAGATCGAGAAGTAATAAAGCTCAGAAAATACATAAATATAAACCAATTCACGTTATTTGCCTTATTTGTGTCAACAACTTAAGAGATTTCACACAAATCAGGGGATTCTGAATGTAAAAGGTATCTTAAATGATGAATAATAAAAATGTCTGTCGCGTTGGTTGAACCTAGAATAGACAGCCAAAGGTAATCAAAAAAGAATCAAAACATCAAAAAAGATCAAATCAATAAAACAGCTTAAAATACTCGTAATTCAGAGAAATGCCGACATTATAATATGTACCTATAGCAGTTTCTTGTAGGTCCAATTACTGTAAAGAATACCAATGATGAACTCAATCCTTTTAGTCTTCTACTGTTTAAAGACGAAAGTCTTCTATATCGTACAACAAAACTAAAGTATCTTCGACTGAAAAATCTTTCATACGCACTATACTAGCCCTTATTTAAATTGATTTAATTTTTATTTACATTTAAATGACTTTTTTATATGGAATATATTCTTAGATTTTGAAGAGCTCAGAGAGCAGCATTAACGATAATGGCTAATGCTTCAAATAATAAAATACATATGTAGATGTACATTGTACATACTTTTCATAAAGAAAAAATCTTATTATTTTAAACTAAATGGCAATTTATTTGGTATGGTCCTAATACAAGAAGTTTCAGTGGCATAGATAGCGTTATAATTAATATCTAGACGTCATACACACAATACAATTTGAACTAACTTACATTTTGAGCTCCGTACAGTTACAGTTTTGAAGTTTGCTGCAGTCTACCCTTTAATATTAATCAAATCAAAATATACTTCAATCAAATAGACGTTTGCAAACTCTATTGAATTGTCAATTTTACGTTTTAAATTTAATAAGTAGCTTAATAAGTAGTCAGTCCGTGAGGAGTCTACCATCGACACCGGCAATATTAAGTTATAGATACTTCATTAAGTATGGAATAAATAAGATTTATCAAAGATACGGCCCCAAGTAAGTCATACCTGGTGTTCCTGCGACGACATCAGGTGCTGGTGCATCATTATGTTCATGAAGTTCAAGGTTAGTAGCTGATGAGGCAGAGCTTCTGTCACCGGGCGGTACGTAGTAGAACCCCTCGTGATGTGCCGCGCTGCCAACACACGCTGTGAGCGGAGCGAGTGTAGACAGGAATTGCCTTCGGGATTCTGACCTTGACTAATAAGTAATTTTAAGTAAAGTAGCTAACCTTTTGTATAGCTTGCTAGAAGCGACCGTAGTGTTTGAAAAGCAGTTCTTTTGAGAAAGAGACAAGTTCAAGTATTATTAACAACCTTCTATCATACTGTGAGAATATAACTGCTAGTGAAATTAACGGCAAGTTTATTTCCTTATTTTCGGCCTTAATTTTTTTTACTTAAGAATAATGTCCATTACATATATTTATTTGTAGTAGTGGAGCCCAAGAGGGTATTTTGGAATTTACTTAAACGCAGCAGATTAACATAAGGGGGGATATCTTGCACTCTCACTCACTCACTCACTTCAACATATATAATTCTTCTGGAAGGTCGCGCCTTTAGCGCGGCTGATCAAAATATTAAAAAAAAATTTAATAAGTTAGAAATACTTGAAAGCCTTAGATTAAGGTATAGACAAAAATGTACCATAAGCTTTTTGGGCAATTTTTACCTCTTTGGCTTGTTTAAAATCGGCCGATTATTGCATTGCACGCTTTTCAGCATGTATTTAGCCCACCGCACCTACCAAATAAAGCTATCAAATAAATCTGCGAAATAATCTAAAATGATAGTTTTATTTAAAATGTCAAATATTCGTGTAAATCTTAGAAAGTATTACTATGTTAATCTGCCGCGCTTGAGTAAATCCCAAAATCCCCTCTTGGGTTCCCCCACTAACGTTAATATCTGGAACTCCTAGTCCGACTGGCAAATTTTTTGGAGTGAAAGTTCTTTAGAATCGTTGTGATTTGAAACTTGATGAAACGCTCCACTAAAAAGAGACAAACACATAAATATATAGGATTAAGCCAGCGAGGGAATGAGAGAGAATACATTGCCATGTTGCCATGGTAACTGTTGTTATTGCCTGACAAATGTATTATATTATATGCTTTCCAAATATGATATTCTATAAATGTATGATTGTAATATGCCTAATATGCTTATTTAATTATTTGAGATAGAATACATTATACAGGCAGTGAAAAATAATAAAATTAATTACTGAATAATATATAATGTATATTTGTCATATAAAATGTAAAATAACTTTTAAACTTGGAAAAAATATTGTAAAAAAAATAAACCTTATAATAATTATCCTACTCCCGATACTCTATGTACATCTCTCTCTCTCGTAGGTTACTTTTCTAAAATTTCACTTCTACTGTGTGTGAATTGCATACACGCGCACTTTTTTTGAATATTTTTAGATAACAAGAGAAGATTAATTATTATAAAAATTCGAGTATATTTCCTCATTTTATTTGATGTGATATTAAATATCTACGATTAATAAGAGACTTAAAGAGAGGGAGGGAGAGATACTAACTAAAAGCTATCCACAAATAATATACACTGAATAAATTTATCGCCCAAATTAAGGTTTAGGGGTGTTGTAACTCTAATTTTTATTACATTCGATTATTATAGTCGTAATTTATACTAATAAATTCACTGGCGTGCAAAAAAATCGGGCCACCTAGAGAAAATGGACAAACTTAAGATATGATATTTTTTTATTAATTTTGTTATTATATATGGGTAGCTATACCCTAGGTACCTAAATCAATAATCGTTGAATAATTTAAATAAAAATTATTGCTCGAAAATAGAGGAAAACCAAATTTAATGATTTTTCGCGAGTTTGGTATAAAAATGTAAGCCGCAAATTAATGGGAAAATTAAAAGATTTCGATTGGTTTTATGATTTTTAATAATGCGTATTACCGCCTCTATTTTTAATTACAGCTTTTAATCGGTTTTTCAGAGATTTGAAACACTTTTTTAGATAATCTTGTGTAATAGACTCCCATTCATCCAATAAGGCGCTTTTTAATTCTTGAATGTTGCTCGGGACTACTACGCGACTTCTAACTTTTCTTTTGAGATGGTCCCATACATGCTCTATCGGATTGAGGTCAGGGCATTGCGCTGGCCAGGCAATAGTAGACACTTCGACCTCTTGAAGATACTGCCTTACTGATGTAGCAGTGTGTAGGCGAGCATTATCTTGTAGAAGCAGAAAATCTTCTCCAATGAACCCAGTAAAAGGCATCACATGATCTTCTAAAACCTACGTTATATACCTAGCGGCTGTAAGCGATCCATTTTCTATGAATATAAGCTCGTTTTTCGCTTCGTAACAGAATCCTGCCCAAAACATAACTGAGCCCCCTCCATATGACACTGTTTCCCTCATAGTGCATGGTGCATATCTTTCACCTGGTCGCCGGTAAACAAAATTACGGCCTTCGGCACCATGCAAACACATTCTGTTTTCGTCAGTAATAAGAACCTTCTTCCACTGCTCCAAATTCCAATTTACATGATCTCGGGCAAAAAGTAATCTTGCAATTCGATGTGCAGGGGTGAGTTTGGGGCCAGTTGCGGACTTGCGTGGCGTCAGGGAAGCGGCTCTAAGTCGGCGCCTTACTGTCCCCTCGCTAACATTGACACCTCTCACTTCTCTCAGGAGTTTCGAACGTCAACCCCTGTACAATGACGATTTCTTAGAGCTGATGACACAATAAATCGATCATCACGGTCTGATGTGGCTCTTCGTCAGCCGGAGCCATGTCGTCGTACAAAGCCACTAGTCTCTATGTAACGTTTGTACATTCTCTGGACCGTAGAACGGCTCACAGAAAAAGCTTGAGCCACTTGACGTTGACTTTGTCCAGTTTCAAGCCACAATTCGAGATGATTCAGCCTCGGTCAGATCCATCTTGCAGTATTTCTAATAATCGCAGATCAAAGTAGAAGTTTCTTGTTCAATAATTGGAACTCAACTAAGCTTCTAAAATAACAAAAAACAGTATTTGTGGCTTTAATCCATATTATGCAAATATTAACTAATTACTGCTAATTGACTATAATTAAGCGCACACGTGCATTTCCAGGAATTTTATGACTTTTTTGAAGGAAACAAAGGCGTTTTATCTCCTTAATTACCTTTGCGGTATTTTTTTTCACCAAACAATTGTCAACAAAAAATTATGCTTAAAATTAAGGGTGGCCCGATTTTTTTGCACGCCAGTGTATAATCAAGTAGTATATGTATATATATATATATATATATATATACTATAGCTTTTATAAACTTATGTGAATATAAGGAATTTACTTTAAAATTACTTATATAAAAAGGTTAATTAAATAGCCACTATTTGAAATAGTATTGTCAGTCATTCTGCAGTACGATGATATAAACGAGGGATTCAACACCTGTGTATAATTCAATTTGGTCGGATCATACGCAAACAGCATCGACGCTTTTGTTTTGGTTTTGTGGAATTGGAAAAGCGATCAATGCCTTGCCATTTTAAAATACAGATAGGTTAATTAAATGAAAGACTGAAACTTATAAAAAAAATAAATGTAAAATAAAAAGGTCTTTTATCGCAGTTTGATTACATTAATATTGTGTTCTACGTTACGGTTGATTATGCTAATAAAATATTGAGTTTAGTTGTATGCAGGCGCTCTAGCCCTCCATAGCTGTGGCGACTTCAAAGAAATTTCTTAGCGGTAATTTTATATTTTATTGGCTCATTTTATTACACTTGCTGTTATTTATTTTCAATATTTTTCTTATGGTTTAAATTTATGTTCATTAAAATTTAATTTTCTATAAATCTTTCTCGAGTACATTGACATTTTCATTTGTATTCCGTAAGATAAATCACAACTACTAGACAATTCAAAGTCGAGAACGTCTAAATATAAGCTAGCATTTAATTAGTGCTAATGACTTTTTAATTTAAAACTGTCTACGCTTTTGTGAGAGATAAAAAAATAGACAATTGCTAGATATATGACTAGCGACTTACGCTCGCTTCGCTCGATTGCTGGGTACATTTTATTTTTTGAGTGGAACCCTAATTCTTTTTCTAAATTAAAAATAGCCTAAGTTATTCCTTATAACATCAGCTATCTGCCAGTGAAAATCCCGTCAAAATCAGTCAAGCGGTTTCGGAGATTAGCCGGAACAGACAGACAGACAAAAATTTCAAAAATTGAGTTTTTCTTATAAGTAGCGTATATAATTTCACATGCATTTAGTAAAAAGCTGTTATTTTGAAATTACAAATAGACACTCCAATTTTTTTATCTGTATACGAGTAGATTATTATAAATGAGAAGTCAAGTCAGCAATTTAAGACTATTTAATTTAACCATTACTGCTTTACGTGTGCGGATAAAATTGTAAACCGAAATACAGTATAAACTCTACATATATAGCGAAATTGAACGGACCGAGTATTTTTATGCGCTATAAAGAGTTTTTGTTAAACGGAGAGTAGAGGAAAACAACAATAAACATAGAATTTAGTACATACTTTATTTAGATAACAAAATTATAATCTGTTATCTTCGTTTGTCGTTTTCTACTTTGTCAATATTTTTTCTCCCTTTTCTATCGCGCGAATTAATAAACTTTTTCGTCAATACACAAAGTCTTTCTTTTACTCGTCATGTTTACAGTTCAAAAGTCTGAATGCAACTGAGAATATTATTACGAGAAGGACGATAATAGGGATATACAGGAAGTAAACATGTGTTGAGCAATTATAATAAACAATGAATTCCTATGAATTGTGCATATAAAATATTTAGGACTCCATGTCGTTGTTGTGTTGAAGGTCAGTGAAATTAATGTTTATTGGGGTCAAAATAATGACTTATTCCTTCGCAAATATGAGTGGTTGTTACGTTATATAGAGTTTTTCAATATATGGATAACATTGTAAAGTAAATAAACCTTAACAATATCTACGTTTTAAGGAGTTTTTCGTTAATTAGGTTTTTAGTAGAGTACACTGTATATGCACATTTTCGTTCTTATTCCTTTAAAAAAAAAAATATAAAAAATTATTGAGAAATGATTCAGCTATTTCTATTAGAAATAACTCCTTATTGTGTTATTATCATCTTCAGAGGATTTGACTAAAATATATTTATAAGATAAAAAAGTAGCCAGATTTTTTTTCCTTTTCAGCAGTAAATAATAATTGATTGTGAGTTAATCCCTCCACGACCGCGGACACGCCGACGACGTTACTGTTAACAATAGATTTCTTAGAAATTTAATTAATTGCTTAGAGATTTACCTGGAGGTGTATTATGGAATTAAAAGGAATATTTATAGCAAAGTTCTATTAACTTTCTTCTAGGATGACCGGTGGCTTCACTAAATAGTCTGCTAAGTCAGACCATTACATTTGTAATGGAAATTTAAATCATAAAGACACGAAGAAGATTTGTTCAGCTTTGCATTCTTAGCGTATATTATACTCGTAATTTCTATTTAAAAGTATATTTTTAGTCTGTTATCAAAATACTCATTTAAATAAAACTTTAACAACTTACTTTTTGTGGTTCTTGATGAATATCGCCTAAGTCGGGTGGCTGTTGACGAGTCGGTACCGGCGCTGATAGAGTTGATGAAGAGGAACTTGAAGATGCACTGCCGAATGCTTTTTCATTATTTTTATCAATACTGTTGAACGATTTGTCACTTGACTTGTCGCTACTGTTCGAAAATTTATCTATACTAGCGCCGGCTGGTGATAAACGTTGTTCTTCTTGTTCGTCATCTTCCACATCACAAGTAAGGAGCCGGATTCTCTCCGATAGCGACGTGGTCTCCTGCTTCAAAATGATATACATTTGTATTGCAATAGTATTTAGTGAATTTACTTATTAACATTTAAAATAAATTATTTAGAATAACTTTTTTAGCCAAAGCTTTCAAAGCGGTTAATCTAACCGAAATGAGCCATCTGCGGAAAATATAATAAAGTACACAAATATGTAAGCAAACAGAATTAGTTTCTCTCTTTCTCTTAATCAATAACACAGTATATAACTAACACGCTTTGGCTGAAGTATCAATCAAGCAATAAATTTCTTTAATTCGAGTCAAACTCAGCACAACATTTTCTTCCACAGTATAAACTAACCGACTGTTTTAGTTCTACTAATACTAATGCCTGAAAATTGCATTTTATAAGATATTAGCGAGTAGCGACTCACCCTCGCTTCGCTCGGGTTTGTCCCTACCGTGATTCCCCATAAACAATTTCATTATCATTTTCACCCCCTTAAGGGATGATTTCCGGAATAAAAAGTTTCCTATGTCCTTCCCAGAACTTTAAACTATCTTCTTACCAAATTTCATCTAAATCTGTTCAGTAGATCCAGAGATTACCTCCTACAACGTCACAAACTCACAAACTTTAACTCGTTATACGAATAATATTATAGTATAGATTTATTCCAAGAATGACTATAGAACTTCAACCTATGTAGCGAGAATTCTCGTTAATACCAGTTTCCAAACTGATGCGGTATATTGCTCGAGCGCTGTTAGCTATAGGTAATTGGATCAATCATATGATTTGCAATGCGCAATTTAACGAATAATTCGATAAATTGTTGCTAAAGCATCTTAGTCATTTATAATAACGCTTTTCAATCGATGGATGTCAATTTTAATCTGAATTGTTAAATTTAGTTATAAGCTAATAGTGAGTGCGTACAAGGTGGAACGGAGAACTTAAGCTCTACCTCGGGCTGAACAAATAAAAAAAATTAGCTATAATATTATTATAGTTATATCACGGTAATATTACATTACCGTTATATATCCAACAAAGATAAGTCAATTATTCTTCTTAGTAACAATTTTTTTCATGGTCGCAGTGATTTTCTATAATACTGGAGGGCCGTAAGGCATAAAAATTGTAAAACCTCGGAATGCAGGGAAAGTCAATAAATCTTCATAAAAACTGTTCGATTGCATTGTTAAAAGCTCAAATAAAAAAAGTTAAAAATAAAAAATTGTGCGATCTTGATTACAACAATTTACTGAAAAATAAGAGGAACAAGGGCAAAAAATGTTTAAAGTAAAGGTTTCAATTTTATACCTAAAAAATATATTTGCATAGTTACTTTAATGAAAATTTATTAATATTTCGCAAAAAATAATGAAGTTAATAAAAATATATACTACTCAAACTTATATCCTTCTAGCAGAACCCGCGGCTTCGCTCGCGCTATAACTACAAAAAATCTTTAAAAAGGTAGTTTCATAGAAACTTTCATCCAAAATTTTACCCCCTTATAGAATGAATATCGAAAAATGCTAAAATACGTTATTAAATAAAACTATCTTTTCGGATTATTTCGCGGATTTATTTTGATTTTTTGGTTTCCGACGTTTCGAATGCTTTACAGCATCTATGGTCACGGGAGAGACTGAGGTGTTACATGTCTTAAAGATATAGTTGTTACAGACAGCCTACCCACAATTAACAAAATGAAAATTGCACCAATTACATTACAATATTTTTAACTTTAAACATTTTTATAATTAAAAATTATTTTTAATCACGCCAATCCGTCATTCTGTTTCGACGTGAAAGAAGGACAAACTTTTAAATATATAATATTACATAAGTAAGGAAGTATGGATATATGTATATTAATACACTATCGATCATTATTGAAATTTGGTAAGAAGATAGTTTGAGGCCCTAGGAAGGACATAGGATACTTTTTATCCCGGAAATCATCCCTTAAGAGGGGGAAAATGGGGACGAAAGTTTGTATGGGGAATCAACCTAGGGACGAACCCGAGCGAAGCGAGGGTGATTCGCTAGTATATTATATACATAAAAGTCATATTAATAAAATGTACAGTTATGATGGCACGGTACCCTTCGTGTGCGAATGCGACTCGCACTTTACCGAATTTTTTATGTATTTATTTTGGTATAATTTACTTTAATCGGTTTCTTTTTTGATAAACTTCAAAAAAAATCTTTGTATATAAGTTACGGATAGATATCCGTCCCGTCGCCAATTGGAAACTAATTATATTATGAGCATTTACAGGCTAATTTCGTATTTATACTTTTTTAAGAAAAAAAAAACACCTTTGAAGATGGGACTCAAATTTAAAGTAAGTGATTTTGAAGTTGGGATACTTTTTTAAGTTAATTCGCATTAATATTTACAATTTTGAAATATTTTGATACCTCCGTATCACAAACACCAAAATTGAATTGAATGAGGGTAATAGGGAATGTTTTTTTTAATCTTTATTGCTTTTGAATTAAGCCTATATAAATATTTTTAATGTAATTTCTTTTTGATTAAGAAAATAATTATTAAAAAGTGCAAATATAGGTGGGAAATTCAAAGTAGTTGAAACGCAACGCTGTTGGTCCGAATGTGACGTCAAAATATGATAGAAAAGAACCAGTGCTGCTAATTTTTCGCTAAAAATACCGACTTTTCTTAAGCAAAAGTCACCAGTTTTAGCTTTGTTATATCATACTTTGACATCACGCTAAGATAGCAAAATCGTATTGGTATGATATTTTTCAAGACTTTTTTATATTAAATTTTAGTTTTTTGGAGCTGGACATTTTTTTACAATAATAAAACGATGAATGAATGAACGAAAATATTGTATAAAAATCATAAAAAAACACCATATTCCCTGTTAAGCCTATATTAATATTTTTTAATGTAATTTCTTTTTGATAAAGTAATAAATATTGAAAAGTGCAAAAATACGTGGGAAATTTAAAGTACATAGTTGAAACACAACACCATTGGTCAGGCCGACGTCAAAGTCAACAACAGAGCGCTGTTTAACTTAAGACCTGTTCACTCGTTGATAATTAATTGCAATATTATCATAAACTACGACATCACGCCAAGCGTGCCAACGTGGACGTTTAAAATATCCATATGTGTATGATATTTTCAAAACAATTTTTTATACAAAATTTCATTTTTGGCATAAATTTAGCGAAAAAGTTAAATTAAAAAGTTATGGTTATATTAAAACTCAATACCATGTCCATTCTTCGATGAACGTGTTAATATTAGAATATAGAAAATTAAACACAATATGGTTAGGTACTTTAAAGATGATAAGCAAGTACTCAGAACTCGTATAGTGTCCTACCATTTGTGGAATTATGCAATTACACAATATTGAATTATGTCGCGTTTTTTCATTCAAAAAAGATATTCATACCATGTAATTAGCAATATTGTTAACGTTTGTATAAAAATATTTTATATTATGACATAAATATTGTATTGTAGCGGGAATAGCATCTTAGAAATGAAAGCACTAGTAAATCCCGAAGTAATTTCGCTTTGTTATCCTTCTAAACATACGGATTTTTGTCTGATAGTCTCGATAACAAGTCGTTCGATTCCTTTGATTCTAACGTTTAGCTAATAATAATTGGATATGCGAGTAGAGTCAAATAGGTCTAAGTCCCTGTCGCACAATCTACATATTATTTGTTTGTGTATTATTGTTGTTACATTCAGAACACGGGAAAGTTTAGCGTGTCTCCAAAGCGATGAGAGCTATTACATTTCACAATTTGAAATAATCAAAAGCTAGAAACAAGTTCCTCACGTAATACGTTCTAGGACTCGCTTTCAAAGTACTCATCATTAAGGCACTTCGAATTACGCTTTAAATGCAATTATTAATATCGACTCGTCAAAGTTTCTCGTAGTTTGGTATTTACTGCTAGCTCTTAGATAACTTTGAAAAGTTAAATAATTATCTGATATAAATATATGAACTCGAATAAGTAGTAGTAAGTATGTAGATAATTAGAATAAATGTAGCCTTTGTTTTTGTTAAAACTTATTAAATAAAACACTAATATTTTTAAGTGAAATTAATACTTTTATTAATAATAATTTTATTTGAATAATAAGATGTGTGAAGTGAAGCAAGAACAAAAAAATCATGATTGGATCTTATGCAAAAATACGAACCAATCATGATTTTTTCACGATTGGATCATATTCACGAGACACTCAATGGGAAAACAAAATAAAGATGGCTATTTTTTTATTTATATATAAAGATAACTAACTCCTCAAATTTTAAACACTCATTCTTCTTTTTTAGCTATAGTTAAAAGCCCTAAACTACATTTTTAATGTCCCGTGGCCCGAAAGCAAAAAACGGAATCCTTATAATTTTGTTAAGTCCGTCTGAACTAATTAGTTATATGTAATTGTATTTATGAACTTGTATTTCGTTTATGTTATGGATGGGTTTTGATATTCACCTATCCCATAGTAATCCACACGATTACGCGTGACTGTCAATTTTGTGGTGATGTGTTATAGCAAAACGAACAACACGAAATATTCTCTGTACTCAAATACCCGTGTTAAAATGTTCACGGCGATCGGTTGGATGCGCTGCAGCGCCACTAACAGCGAGTTTCAACAAAATAAATATGTTGCGTAATAACTTCTCCATGTGAAAATACATTAAGATTGAGATACTTGTGAAGAACTTTGAAAGATTTAGAATTATACGAAGGAGCAGTTACTTTTCTCAATTTAGACTAAAATTTTTGCTGAGTATAGTTCTCAGCCTAGTAGGTGATTTATTGCGGTTAATTATTACATATTTTTACTTTAAAATCTACACTTTAAATCTTTTATAAAATTGAAGTGTCATTTTTTTTAAAAACCTGTGTTTTCCATCCATTTTTGAAGCACTGTCACTGGTTTATTACCTATTATAACAGAACTTTTATAGGCGAAAATACGATTCAAGCGAGAAGGCTTAATTTTGGAAATGATAGACGGTTCTTGCGAGTTAAAGCTTCGTCAATTTCAACAAAAAGTAAAGGATTATTTGATAGCAATAACGACCATTTTTTAAAAAGAATTTTAAGAGTAGGTATTTTATGAAGTTTCTTTCTCACAAGATCAGTTAGAGCTGAAGTGAAGTGAGGACGGAGTGTTATATGAAATATATTGTTACTAACCTTTGGTTGTTGCTTTTTTCTGGCTTCACTTCTGAGAAGTGAACATCTTAGAGCGTTTCTCTCAGCGACGCGTCTCACTGCTGCATCTTCTGTTTTAGGCCTCACTCCGGCATGCCATGCCCTGTACATAACAAAAACAATTGAATATTAGCTACCTACGTACTTTAAAATCATAAACAATGTAACATATTCAATACAAATTCGTTCATGCATGTTAATTACGCATAGAGATTCTGTTTAGAATTATGTAATTTGCTTTCGAAATGTGATTGAATTGCACATTCATAGGTATCATTATAACGATTTCATTTCGAATACTGACACCGTAGTGAAATAATTATTTTGAAAATTGATTGATAATCTCATTATTTCATTAAAAACATTACCTAAAAAAGAACGTGAATTATATTTGTGTTATTTTTTTAATTATTATTTTTAAATATACCTAACTATCTATATATAAAACTAGCAGAACCCACGGCTTCGCTCGCGCTAAAACTACAAAAAAACTCTAAAAAGGTAAGCTTCATACAACTTTCATGCCCTATTTTACCCTTTACATTTTATGACTTGAATTTCGAAAAATGCTAAAACACGTACCTATTTCTTTAATTTTGTTGAAGAGCATTAATACTTATAAGTTTCAAGTAATTCTGATCATAAATATTTTTTTCAGTTATATTATAACGTGTTTTCCTGTGGGAAATAGATGATCTCCCTATGTCACTCTCCAACCCTCCAGCAATCTTCACACAAAAAATCACGTCAATCCATCATTCCGTTTTTACGTGAAAGAAGGACAAATAAACAAACACACTTTCACATTTATAATATTCATAGTCTTGACTGACTGACTGATATATCGTCGCACAGTATAAACCGCTGGTCCTAGAGACATGAAATTTGGAGGGTGTGTTTTTTGTGAAGTGTAGGTATCCACTAAGAAAGGGGTTTTTCTTAAATTCCAACCCTAAGAGGGTGAAAAGTTTAATTTTCTGTGAAACTTTATACTTATTCTTTGGGTCGATTGACTCGAAAATTAATAAGCGTACTATTAAATTAAAATTATGAGACATGTGTACATCACAGTTTTTCGAAAATCATCCCCCAACAGAGTCAAATAGGGCTTCGAAAATCTACGCAGCAGACGGGCGCATGGCGCAAGGTTGGCGCATAAAGTGAGGAGAGCGGGGGTGTTTCTGTATTAAATACTTATAACAAAAAGCCAAAGAATTCGTTTTTTTGTAGTTTTAACACGAGCGAAGCCGCGAGTTCTGCTAATTGGATTATATAACGTTACTCACCTATTTAATATCTCTATAATCTTTTATATTATGAAGGGACCAACCACAGACACATCACGACCAACGTACCTACTACCCACCTAGTACTCGAGTAAAGTTGTCCACAAGCGAAAACTGCTCGTGTTATATTGTTTGAAAATATCAATATTTTCTTTCAAATAATTAAGCAACTATTTATAAAAAAATTATAGCCATATGAATTACTCTTAATATCCTACCCTAATTGATGCTCGAATCGGTGTCTATTACTATTAAAATTTAATATGCAGAAGGGATAATAAAGAGCGCAAATATTATGTGCACAAATTTAGATACTCTTTTAAGTAGTTGTATTAGAATTAACCTAGCCATTATTAAAATTAAACAATATTTCTGAAAGAAAATAGTAATAACATCAAATTTATTATCAAATAATAATATTTCTTAATCAACTCGCGTATTTGGGAAGACACGATTTTCTAATTATGTTAAAATATTGTTTGAGTATTTCTTTTCGTAATATAAAGATACGCTTATATTGTAGACCGAGCACTTTTGTATTGTAAATAATACAAAGTTAAACTTGTACATTTGGTTTTTTAAGGGGATTTATACAAAAAATAATTTAACATTTTTATTAAAAGAATAAATTACTATATATTGAAAAAATGGACGATGAATTATTAAGCTTCAAATTATAATTCATTGAAGAGAAGTACATACCTGAGAGTTTCAGAAGTGACTAATTGAGGCTCAATCGCCGGCGGCGGTGGTCTGCTAGTGTTGAACAGTTGTTGAACTGCTGAATTCGCCTTCGGAGTACTTATCGTCAATATCAGTGGTGTCTCTAACCTGAGAAGCAATGTAACATTCTTCAAGAGGCAGTGGTAGCCCAGTGGTGACGAGCTCGCTTGAGTAACCGACTAAAGTGGGTTCAAATCCCGGGTCTCGCACCTCTGATATTTTCATGTGCGAATAATTTTCATCATGATTACCACTTGTCTTAAAATGAAGAAAAACATCTTGAGGAAACCTGCATGTCTAAGATAACCTAACAATATTAAATAAAATTATCTTTTCGGATTATTTCGCGGATTTATTTTGATTTTTGGTTCCCGACGTTTCGAATGCTTTACAGCATCCATGGTCACGGGAGAGACTGAGGTGTTACATGTCTTGAATGTATAGTTGTTACAGACAGCCTACCCACAATTAACAAAATGAAAATTGCACCAATTACATTACAATATTTTTTAACTTTAAACATTTTTATAATTTTATAATTTTAATTATAATTGAATATGGAAAATTATTTATTTAATTTTTGCTATTATTTTTATAATTATTACAATTTTAAAAATATTAATTAGTAATCTATATTTAGTGTTGCCATTATTATATTTATAACCATAAAGAAAAATATAAATATAGTATTAATTATTTAAGCCATATAATTGTTCTATGTGTAATTTAAAAAAGTTAAAATTAATTAAGGATAATAATTTTAATTTAGTTTGCTATTATTTAAAAACAAATTACTAAGCAACATCTAAGAAAATATTATGATAACCTAACAAGTTATCGAAAGACATGTGAAGTCCGCAAACCTGCTTGGCCAGCGTGGTGGACTATGGGGTAATCCCCCTCGTATTGAAAGGAGGCCCGTGCCCAGCAGCGGGACATTAAGAAGGGCTGGATACATATGTTTCTTCAAATACATATCTACTAATATTATAGCGTAAATTTGCAGTGCTATCACAAGATTTCTTTAAATCTTTATTTAAAGGACTTACATACATACACAGGAATAAAAATAGAAAAGATTCTATCTTACCTATTCAGCGCAAATAACAATACTATACTAAGAGAAAAAACGACCATAATTATGTAACGTCTTGACTAGATCTAAGCACATACCTAAGCCAACCTTAGGTAATTCATACAAAGTGTTATAACAAGTTATTTAAAATGTCATTAAATTTTGATTTATAATCATTAGAATAATTTTATAAGCTAATTACCTGTGACTGGTACTCGTCACATATTCTCTTTGGGAATTTTGATCAGCGTCTATAGGTTGCGCTGGAATTTGTTCTATCTTTTCCGTAGATTCCTCTTCACAATCGCTTGGTTTTTCAACGAAACGAACTGATCTGGGTGTTATTGATCCATCTTCATCACTAGCTGTAGTCGTAGACCGTTGGTCATCATTCTGTTATTGAATATACATTTTTGAAACATTTAATATATAATTTGAAAACAAAGTACCTTTACTATTTTATATTATGAAAGTTGTAAAACTAATTATTTAAACGGAGATCTCCAAAATATTTTAACTGTCAAATAAGTAAATTTCCATTATAAAATGGTTTTTTTATTTTAAAGTCACTACTCTCAGATTTCTACACTAAACGCTTCCATTAAAAGCTTATTGCAAGTGAACGTAACACAACAGGGTAGAGTACTGTGACAAGTTTGTTTAATATAAAATTTGTGACGTAGAATTGGAAATTCTGCTAAGTTTATATGAAATTGTGTTGTCACGTACACTGAGAAAATCTATTTTCGGTTGATTATGCGGTAAAGGCTAATTTGTGATATTTACCAAATAAAAGTTATAATAACTTATGCTAAAATTTATGGTAGAGAAGATGCTTTGTAATTGAAGTATTCCTTTTTAAATTTTAAAGTTGTAAAGCATACATTATTTGAGAAGGAATATATAAATTGCCAAGTTTTTTCGATTGCACAAGCTATACCTACTTATATAATAAACGTATAAACTGATTAAATAAAAAAGGAGTCATGAGGACTGCCGACAGAAGTGAAAACTTCAAACTATAAACAAACAGTTGTTATTTATGGACATTCAAATTAATTGTGTGATCTTAAGTTAAAATTTATAAATTAAAACTGTTTACATTTCGGCACTCTGAGTGTTAGCTTTAACACGTCACGTGACCATGCCGATGACGACTTACATAAATTTATTCCCCATCCAAACCTGCCTATAGAAGTTTTCACTTCAATGAAGAAAAGAACATATATGAATTCCAATATTTTGTTGGAGATATCATCGCATAAAATAATGTGGCTTCCTTTATTTAACCTACCTCACTTATAAAGTTTTACTTAGTCATTAAATACAGAAACGAAGCCATAGGTCTTTGTTAGTCCTAAAAAAAATATTAAAGATCCTAGTAATTAGACGGATTATACTATATAAATAGAGTTCTGAATTACAAGCTTCGTAACAGTGGCTTCAAAGAGCAATGTTACTCCTAATCATATTAGGTATATTCTAAATGAAACGAGCGCTCCGGGCGGCCAAAATACATAACGAAATATTTTCAACTAGGTATTTGCTTATTTATTGAATGTACAGAATATTCTCGAAATTCATAATATTGAAGCAAATGCCAGAGTACGTTATCTATACTAATATATAAAGTGCTTCCGTTTTGTTTGTTTGTTTGTTTGTTTGTTTGTTTGTTTTTTTGTTGGTTTGTTTATTTTGTTTGAACACTGGATCAATCTGATTTAGATTAAATGTTTTTTTTTAACATTTTACAGAGGAAACCTATCTAATATAGATGTCTGATCTTTAAGAGAGAAATAATTATCTTATAATATTAAATCAGCAATTCTTGTATGTGCATATAAAAATTTATTTTGTTTATCTCAGAAATAGCTCGATTTGGATCAAATTTTGTATTTAGCTAAGGTTTAGCTTTTAAAGTTTATCTACATAAATATATTTTTTGAAAAAAAAAACAATATTTAGGTATGTATATGCTTGGTACGAAAAACACCACTCAGGTACTACAAAAAAGCAATTAAAGTCACACAAAAGTTAATTTTAGGACGAGAATAACTAATGTAAAATCATTGTGATGTAAAATAACATTTTCTAAGTACAACTAAATAATAAATATCACATAAGTCATTAATATTAATTACCTGTTCGTTAAGTTCTTTATCATTTTCTAAAGATTTCCACAGCCTCCCGCCTTTTAAAATACCAGCCCGTCGATGCCTCAGCGGTGAGTTTTCCGAAGATATTCGTCCTTCGACCTCAGCAGTATCACTCTCTTCACCTATGTACGTACGTAGAAAAATTATTAAATATAGTTTATTAGATGCTAAAAATAGATGTTGAAACAAAAGTCAAAGTTCGACAAAGTTTTAATTACATATCTGTATATAAGGAAAAATATACAGAAACCTTATTTGAAAAAGATTTTGACTCTTCCTTTATTGAGGTGAGCTTTTTTATCAATAACAAAAAATAAGTAGGTACCATAAATCATTTTAATTTCATTATTTTCTATTCATGATAATTTGATTTAATATACATTTTCGAATTACTATTAAAAATAATTGTATGAGTATATGTAGATATCACGTATATATCAAATATATCAAATTGTCGGAAAACGGAAAATATTGTAATTAATTACTAACTTGTTACTGGCGCTAACTTTGCTATCTCTGTTTGCGTTTCTTCTATGCTTATATCTGGAGGGCATTCTGAAACAAACAATTTATATAAAACGTTTTTCATGTCAATAGTTAGTTAATTAATTAATTCATCATTAAAGGTCTCATATTAAGACGACGCTGAAGTCGAGTTTAGAGTATTTATTGGTTTTGCTCTATTTTCCTCGAACGTCAAACATGCATATATCATCAATATTAACTATCGCCTTGGTGAAACATTTGGACCTAGCGGGATAAAATTTCGGCGGGGCAGGTATACCTATGTACAGTGACGTAGGAAAAAGCTAAAAATGGATTTATGAAAATCAGATTTTAAATTGCCTAAATAGTAGTAGCGAAGTTTGTTTTAATAAATAGAGCAGTCCGAAAAATTCAAAGTAGGTTGCTAGGCTTGTAGAAACGTAAATTTTGCAATATATACTTATCTAACCAATCTAATATCTTCTATACAATAAAGAAAATTACAAATATACTTAATTATAAAAACAAATGTACACTTCATTATTACTGTACAAGTCATGTCTGCGTGGAACAGTGGCAAGAATGCTAGCCGCATTCACTCGCTTAAGGTAATAGGTGTGTTAAGATAGCAGTGAAAGGTTAGCAGAATCGTTCGAAACATATACGGTATTTTGTGGCTAATTTGTTGCTAATTAGTTGCTAAAACCCCGATTTTGTTGCTTTGTCCGATTTCGAAAAAAAGGAGTTACTGCTATCTTAACGTTAAGCTAGCAGTAAACTCAGCGGGACCGGCATGGATTAAATGCAATTATACATCAGTATTTGTTGCTAATTTGTTGCTGACAAATAGTGTAAAAAAATTTGAAAAAACCCTAGAATTGGCTAGACCTGGAGACCTGTAGCCGTATCCATGCTATCTTAACATGCAGTTTTTTTAACAAGACGATGGCATGGATTTTTTTGCTGGACGCAAATAACATCAGGACACCCGAGAGAGCCAGCAACAAAATAGAAACTAAAATTCTGCTACACCTGGAGACCTGTAGCCATGTCCATGCTACCTTAACATGCACTTTTTTTAACAAGACGGCGGCATGGATTTTGTTGTTCATCGTAAATAACACCAGGAAACCCCAGAGAGCCAGCAACAAAATAGAAACTAAAAATCTGCTACACCTGGAAACCTGTAGTCGACTACAAGTGTTCATGCTAATTTAGCGTGCACTTTTTTTAACAAGACGGTAGCATGGTTTTTGTTGCTCATCGTAAATAGCACCAGGACACCCCAAAGAGCCAGCAACAAAATAGAAACTAAAATTCTGCTACACCTGGAGACCTGTAGCCATGTCCATGCTAACTTAACATGCAGTTTTTTGAAGAAAACCATGACATGGATTTTGTTGCTCATCGTAAAAAACACCAGTACACCCCAGAGAGTCAGCAACAAAATATAAACTAAAAATCTGCTACACCTGGAAAACTGTAGCCGACTAAAAGTGTTCATGCTAACTTAACGTGCACTTTTTTTTAACAAGACGGTGGCATGAATTTTGTTGCTCATCGTAAATAACACCAGGACACCCCAGAGAGCCAGCAACAAAATAGAAACTAAAATTCTGCTACACCTGGAGACCTGTAGCCATGTCCATGCTAACTTAACATGCAGTTTTTTGAAGAAAACCATGACATGGATTTTGTTGCTCATCGTTAAAAACACCAGTACACCCCAGAGAGCCAGCAACAAAATAGAAACTGAAAATCTGCTACACCTGGAGACCTGTAGCCGTGTTCATGCTATCTTAACATGTACATTTTTTATGAAAACGATGACATAGATTTTGTTGCTGGACGCAAATAATATCAGAACACCCCAGAGAGCCAGCAACAAAATATAAACTAAAAATCTGCTACACCTGGAGACCTGTAGCCGTATCCCTGCTATCTTAACATGTACATTTTTTATGAAAACGATGGCATGGATTTTGTTGCTGGACGCAAATAACACCAGGACACCCCAGAGAGCCAGCAACAAAATAGAAACTAAAATTCTGCTACACCTGGAGACCTGTAGCCATGTCCATGCTAACTTAACATGCAGTTTTTTGAAGAAAACCATGACATGGATTTTGTTGCTCATCGTAAAAAACACCAGTACACCCCAGAGAGCCAGCAACAAAATATAAACTAAAAATCTGCTACACCTGGAAACCTGTAGCCGACTAAAAGTGTTCATGCTAACTTAACGTGCACTTTTTTTTAACAAGACGGTGGCATGAATTTTGTTGCTCATCGTAAATAACACCAGGACACCCCAGAGAGCCAGCAACAAAATAGAAACTAAAAATCTGCTACACCTGGAAACCTGTAGTCGACTACAAGTGTTCATGCTAATTTAGAGTGCACTTTTTTTAACAAGACGGTAGCATGGTTTTTGTTGCTCATCGTAAATAGCACCAGGACACCCCAGAGAGCCAGCAACAAAATAGAAACTAAAATTCTGCTACACCTGGAGACCTGTAGCCATGTCCATGCTAACTTAACATGCAGTTTTTTGAAGAAAACCATGACATGGATTTTGTTGCTCATCGTAAAAAACACCAGTACACCCCAGAGAGTCAGCAACAAAATATAAACTAAAAATCTGCTACACCTGGAAAACTGTAGCCGACTAAAAGTGTTCATGCTAACTTAACGTGCACTTTTTTTTAACAAGACGGTGGCATGAATTTTGTTGCTCATCGTAAATAACACCAGGACACCCCAGAGAGCCAGCAACAAAATAGAAACTAAAAATCTGCTACACCTGGAGACCTGTAGCCGCATCCATGCTATCTTAACATGCAGTTTTTAAAAAAAAACCATGACATGGATTTTGTTGCTCATCGTAAATAACACCAGAACACCCCAGAGAGCCAGCAACAAAATAGAAACTGAAAATCTGCTACACCTGGAGACCTGTAGCCGTGTTCATGCTATCTTAACATGTACATTTTTTATGAAAACGATGATATAGATTTTGTTACTGGACGCAAATAATATCAGAACACCCCAGAGAGCCAGCAACAAAATATAAACTAAAAATCTGCTACACCTGGAGACCTGTAGCCGTATCCCTGCTAATTTAACATGTACATTTTTTATGAAAACGATGGCATGGATTTTGTTGCTGGACGCAAATAACACCAGGACACCCCAGAGAGCCAGCAACAAAATAGAAACTAAAATTCTGCTACACCTGGAGACCTGTAGCCATGTCCATGCTAACTTAACATGCAGTTTTTTGAAGAAAACCATGACATGGATTTTGTTGCTCATCGTAAAAAACACCAGTACACCCCAGAGAGCCAGCAACAAAATATAAACTAAAAATCTGCTACACCTGGAAACCTGTAGCCGACTAAAAGTGTTCATGCTAACTTAACGTGCACTTTTTTTTAACAAGACGGTGGCATGAATTTTGTTGCTCATCGTAAATAACACCAGGACACCCCAGAGAGCCAGCAACAAAATAGAAACTAAAAATCTGCTACACCTGGAAACCTGTAGTCGACTACAAGTGTTCATGCTAATTTAGCGTGCACTTTTTTTAACAAGACGGTAGCATGGTTTTTGTGCTCATCGTAAATAGCACCAGGACACCCCAGAGAGCCAGCAACAAAATAGAAACTAAAATTCTGCTACACCTGGAGACCTGTAGCCATGTCCATGCTAACTTAACATGCAGTTTTTTGAAGAAAACCATGACATGGATTTTGTTGCTCATCGTAAAAAACACCAGTACACCCCAGAGAGTCAGCAACAAAATATAAACTAAAAATCTGCTACACCTGGAAACCTGTAGCCGACTAAAAGTGTTCATGCTAACTTAACGTGCACTTTTTTTTAACAAGACGGTGGCATGAATTTTGTTGCTCATCGTAAATAACACCAGGACACCCCAGAGAGCCAGCAACAAAATAGAAACTAAAAATCTGCTACACCTGGAGACCTGTAGCCGCATCCATGCTATCTTAACATGCAGTTTTTAAAAAAAAACCATGACATGGATTTTGTTGCTCATCGTAAAGAAATAAGTAATCGTAAGTAACACCAGAACACCCCAGAGAGCCAGCAACAAAATAGAAACTGAAAATCTGCTACACCTGGAGACCTGTAGCCGTATCCATGCTATCTTAACATGCAGTTTTTTTTAAAAAACCATGACATGGATTTTGTTGCTCATCATAAATAACACCAGAACATCCCAGAGAGCCAGCAACAAAATAGAAACTGAAAATCTGCTACACCTGGAGACCTGTAGCCGTGTTCATGCTATCTTAACATGTACATTTTTTATGAAAACGATGACATAGATTTTGTTGCTGGACGCAAATAATATCAGAACACCCCAGAGAGCCAGCAACAAAATATAAACTAAAAATCTGCTACACCTGGAGACCTGTAGCCGTATCCCTGCTATCTTAACATGTACATTTTTTATGAAAACGATGGCATGGATTTTGTTGCTGGACGCAAATAACATCAGGACATCCCAGATAGCCAGCAACAAAATATAAACTAAAATTCTGCTACACCTGGAGACCTGTAGCTTACTACAAGTGTCCCTGCTACCTTAAAATGCACTTTTTTTAAAAAGACAGTGGCATGGATTTTGTTGCTGGACGCAAATAACATCAGGACACCCCAGAGAGCCAGCAACAAAATAGAAATTAAAAATCTGCTACACCTGGAGACCTGTAGCCGTATTCATGCTATCTTAACATGTACATTTATATTTCATACACACTGTAAAGGACAACTTTATACATCTATATCAAAACTAGGTATGTATGTACAATTCAACATCATGGTATCGAAAAAAAAAATTAATTTAATTTTTATTCGACAGGTAACATGGTTTTTTTTGAAATTTTTAATGCTGGTGGAGACTGCTCAATACCATTAGAAGACTTGCCTAGGGATTTCGTAAATCCACTAGAATTAAACAATAAATATAGGATTGTAGGAGCAGTTGCACATGAAAATTTAGGAAGTGGTGGCCATTTTGTAGCCATGTGCTTAAGAGGAAC